ACGAAGGGTGGTCGACCAGACCAGATGGGTGGGATATAAATCAAATAAATAAATAAATAAATAAATAAATAAATATAAAAGAGAAAGATTACACATTCTACTCAAATTCGCATAAGACATGGTCTAGAATAGATGCATGCGGGATTCCAGTAAGTTGGATAAAAGTGATGAAGACTATAGACATATTACCAAGAACTTTTGCTGATCACAGTCCAGTTATTTTACAACTGAATATACGGAATAAATTATCATTCTGGAGAATGAACACTAGTCTTCTGCAAAATGAAGATTTTAAGAAAGAAATGATGCAAGGAATGTCTTGGTTCTTTGAGGAAAATAAAACCCCAGAGGCACCAATGAGAGTAGTCTGGGATGCAGGAAAAGCAAAGCTAAGAGGGATAGTCATAAAGCATGCAGCAAGAAAAAAAAAAAGGAAAAAAACACAAAGAATTAGAGAAAAACTATTCCAGTTAGAACAACTGTCAAAACAAAATAGCTTAACTGAAATCAGTACAACATCAAATAAATCTATGGTGGATGTCGGAAATGGCAATGAAGATAAAACAAGTGAAACAAAACTTTTTGAAAAGGCAAACAAACCAGGCAGATGGCTTGGCTATAGACTGAGAAAAGAACAAACAAGAAACCAAATTATAAACCTTAAAGACCAGGAAGGAGAGACTAGATGAGAGGAGAAGGAAATTTTAAAAAATGTCAAGGATTTCTATCAAACGCTATACAAAGAACCAGGGAAATCAATAATAAAGCAAAGAGAATATCTGCAGAAGTTTCAGTTAAAGAAATTATCTAAAGAAAATAAAAAGATCTCGCATTCCTCAATAACGATGTGTGAAGTGGGGATGTGTGAAGGATTGCATGGTAAAGTGGGTTCAAAATATAGGACATAATATAGAATTAAGTGCCTGGTCACAAATTTGGGAGTGAAATATTAAAATGACTAAATCTATAAACCTAAAAGAATATATATACAAAATGTTTTATAGATGGTATGTAACACCAGAGAAATTAACAAAAATGTATAAAAATGTTTCTAATAAGTGCTGGAAATGTGAAAAGAATGTAGGGAGCTTCTATCATATGTGGTGGACATGCAATAAGGCCAAGGAATTTTGGAAAATGATTCATGAAATGATAGAGAAAATTTTAGGGGTTAAAATTGCTTTGACACCAGAAAGCTTCTTACTGAATATATTACCACCTATACTCGGAAAAAAACAAGACCTACTTGGCCTTACACCTGATAACAGCAGCTAGAATTGTACATATACCAGTAAGTGGAAGATGACAGAGGTCCCGACAAAGAAGGAATTTATTAAGAAGATTTTGGAACTACCAAATTGGATATTTTGACAGATACAATAAATGACAGACTGGATAATAATAAATGGGAACCTCTTTGTACCTGGATGAAATCTACATCAATTTAAGTAGAATAGATTAGATCAATACTATGTTAGAGAGTACAGTGGTACCTCGACTTAAGAAATTAATCCGTATTGGGACTGCGTTCTTAAGTCGAAACGTTCTTAAGCAAAGCACCATTTCCCATAGGAATGAATTGAAAACACTTAGCTGTCATTAATACATCCAAGACAAAGGGGTAGCAGTATCTATATCTTATTGCTGCATGTTATGACCAGAAAGTAAAAGAGGAAAGAAATAAAATCACTGCTAGTCTCAGATGTTTCCCATCTGGAAACTTTTGAGTCTTCTTCAGTGACTCTCTGCTGCTAAGAACAGCAAAAGGTGTCCACATTTGCATCAATGTTATTTTAAAGCCAAACTAGATCTGATACCATTCCAGGGATCTCAAACTCAATTTACCTGGGCGCCGCTGGAGGCAGAGTCTGAGTGAGGCTGGGCCGCATCAGATTTTCCACCAAGCAGAACAAGGAAGCTGCCCAGGAGTTTCCTTAGCCTGGCTGGGGCTCCGAGCAGGAGGAGGAAGGGCATGCCAGCCCTCGTCGCCCACCCACGACCCCCTCTGGTTCCTTCACCACCACCACCAGCAGCAGGACAAAGAAGCGGAGAGGGGAGGGAGCGCCGGCGACTGCTTAGCTGGGGGGAGGAGGGCACAACATAAACAATTAAAAAAAAAAACCTCACAGAATTCGCCTTGTCAAAGGAGAAAAGCCCCCACCGGTACCTGTGAAATTAAACAGAACTGAGTGCACCCCCACAGGTGCGTACACACACATAGGTCCGGCAACCTTCCTCTGAGGCGGCAGTGGCAGCTGCTGTTGGTGGCTTTGAGGTGCTCTTCGAGGACACACCGGGAGCAACCCTTGACAGCAGAGGACGCGTGGGTGCTTCGGGGGGGGGAGGCAAGGTGGGACCGCAAACTATCGTCTGGCAGGCCGCAAATGCCCCCCGGGCCGTATGTTTGAGACCCCTGATTTACACGATTAGCAATTGTGTGAGCAGACTTTAAAAAACATAAACAGCCAACTTGGGTGAGAGATCCAGATCAGAGCCTTGCAAAAATGCTGCATTTCTGACCCATTTGGAAATATCATCTGGAATACTATTGTCTTGTTAATAGTGGTCTTAAATACAGTGGTGCCTCGCTTAGCGATTGCCTTGTTTAACGATGTATACGCGTAGCGCTGAGGTTTTAGGAGCGATCTTGCACTCCGTTTAGCGATGTTTCCAATGGGGGAATTTCGCATAGCAATGTTTGGGACCTTGCTTCACTTAGCGATGACAGTTTAGGTCCCCCTGTTTCGCTTAGCGATGTTTTTGACAGCTCTGTTTTCACTATTTTTAAAAGGTGTTAAATTGTTTTAAAAGGGTTTAGAGTGCTTGAAATCGTTAGTGCACTTAATAAACCCTTTGTTAACCAAATTTGGCTTCGTTCTGACTCTTTTTGAATTTTTGGTGATTTTTCTTCTCCCCCATTGAAATGCATTGAAAAGGTTTCAATGCATTCCAATGGGGGAACCGCGTTTCGCTTAGCGATGTTTCCTATGGCGATTTTCACTTAAGGGTGACAATCCGTTCCCACTGGAATGGATTATCTGGTTTTCAATGCATCTCTATGGGAAAACGCATATCGCTTAGCGATGTTTTCCCATAGCGATGAATTTTTTGGAACCAATTACAATTGTTAAGCGAGGCACCACTACAGGTTTGTTACTAATACAAGAAGCCTTACTTACCTCCCCCCTCCCAAAACACCAGATCATGGATTCCTCGTCCATGTATTTATTTGTTTGGAACTTAAACATGGCCCTTCAGCTTCTCTGCAAGTACACACACTTCACAGCACAGTTCTCAGCAAACAGTCCTCCTCAGGTATTCTTTCTCTTCCCTCAATCAATATAAGATTTACTTCCTTCTGCCTATGCCAAATCCAGCCACTCCAATTACAAGGACATTAGTCTTTGGAGTCCCTAATAGGTAAAAATGATTCCACATAAGTTAATGAAAGGATTTTCATTAGGATTTTGAGAATGCAGTGGTCTAATAAAATATTACTGAGTTTTTCTGGATCACATCAACTTATTTCTTTTTTTCTTTTTCTTTTTCTTTCTTTCTTTTTGGCTGCTTATGAAGACCTCCCCCATTACAGTACCATTATTGGAGGGAAAAAGATTTATGCCATGTGTTTTTTGCAGAAAATGAATTCTGTCTCCAGAATTCCACGAAGACAAGATTTTAAGGCATTGCCTATGAAGAAAGGTGGCAGACAAGCCTTCTCAGGGACTGGACCTAAGGAACTAGGGCCCAACTTGCCATAGTACACCCCCCTTTTCCCTCCAGCTTTACAAAAGCTGGTAACAGCAACAATTAAAGCTTTTCCTCATGACCTCAAACACCATCTACAAAAGCAAGTTTGTTCCTCCAGAGACAAGTTCCTTCACTGTCACTGATTTGATGTACAGTACAGTACCAGGAATTTACACACACACCCCTCTCAATACATCCACATACATTTGGACTTGGCAGAAGCGAAAGACTAGGTGCAACATTCTCATGATCTGGGTATTATCCTTTCACTGTTTTCCTGCTCCTGGAAAGGTCGCGCACCCCCTCGCCCGGGTATGACCTCCTGGGTGTTTTGGAATCCAATTCGAATCACACCAACCATGAGCCTATTGGCTGGGGCGCAGGGACTCTGAGGCCTCATAGATGGCTTGGACTACAACTCCCATCGGAGATGCTGGCCGGCGCAGATGGGGCTTATAGTCTAATAAAGCATTATCTTGACACTACTGTAGTTGTACCCACTGGTAAAGGAGCACTTTCCACTGAACGCAAAAGGGTCTTGTTTCTGAGTAAACACGTACAGCACATGACTGCACTAATGCCGGCCGAGAGGGAACGACGCGACGTGCAGGGTTCTGGGTTCTGGTTTCTGGTTTCCTCTTATCTCGCCACCGCCTCCTTCGCGGGGAACTCTGCCCTAAAGCAAGGACTGCGGTGGCCAGCCAGGAGGAAACTCAACAGAAGGGCTCCTCCGCCACACCTAACTAGATTAACACCCTCGGCTTCGTGGTCACAAACACGATATAACCACCCCGCCCCTGCATTTTGTTAAGCCTTCTGCGACGCCCAGTCGTCCGCGATCCGTCGGTTCAGCTTTCCTTTTAAGCCGACGCCTCTTCCACGGCTGCAAAAGCAGGAATGCGCCTGCGCCGAGCCAGTCTCCTTCCGCCTTCGTACCGCCCGCCATATCTCTATGATCCCCCCGGCTTCGAGTCTATGAACCAGCGGAAGGTTCCCTCGCGTGTCTACGACTGGGCATGCTCCAAACCTTCTAACCCCCCCTCTCTCTTTGCGACCCCCGCCCCTTCGTTACCTCACGATCTTTCTGTCACGCATGCGCATATTTACCAAAAAAAAAACCCGCCGGGGCATGGGAGTTTGATAAGAGAAAAGACGAGAGGAGGGAGCGAGGTTGCCGGGTGAACAGGGATACGTCATTGTTTTATTGATCTCCCCATGGTTCGATTGATGGAGCGGTCGGCCCGCTCCTGGGGCTCCAGAGAAACAGACAGGGAGTAAAAGCGGCTGTTTTGGGGGAGGGGAGGGGAGAGAGAGAGAGGCACGCGGGGGCCTCGCCAGCGCGCGCACACACACAGACGTTTCACGTCGGGAGAGGACGTTGCCTCTGCCTTTGAGGGGGCGGCGCTTTGGAGGAAGCCCCGCCCCACACTGTGCAGCCGCCGTCACCTCCTCCTCCTCCTCCTGCTGCTGCTGTGGGGCTAATCAGCGGCCGAAGGGCTCCGGGCGCCTCAGCCGCGGTTGGTTTGGCTGGTCGGCCTGGAGGAGCGAGGGGGGGGCGGCGGCGGCGGCGGCGAGGAAGAGCCCCCCACGTCCGTACGTCCGTCCGTCCGGCCATGAACCTGCACCAAGTGCTGACGGGGGCTGTCAACCCCGGCGACAACTGCTTCTCCGTGGGGAACGTCGGCGGGCATCCCTTCACGGTGAGTCTTCCCGCCGGCTCCTCGCCAGCCTGCGCTCTCCTCCCCTCAGCCTTGGGCCCTCTCCCCGTTGTCTCGCCCGCCTCCCGCGCCCTTTGGGGTCTCGTCCTTCTCGCCTCCCGGTGGCTCTGTATCTCTCTTTCCCCCCCCCCACCCCGGCCGTGCCTCAGTGTCGGCGGGCGGGCGGGCGGTCAGAGCTCTGGCGTCAGGGCTGGGCGAGGCAGGGATCCGCCTGGAGGTGGAGGTGGAGCGGGCGGAGCAGGTGCCTTCTTGCCCCCGTCCGTTCGCCAGCGGAGCGCTCGTTGATGATGCTGGAAGCGGGGCGTGCAGGAGGAGGTCGGGCCCCGGTCCCGGCCTCCGAGGGAAAAAAGCAGGCGTTGTTTTGAAGTTTTCCGCCCAGGCTGCTTCGCTTCCTCCTCTTCCCGTCTTCGTTTACTACTGCCGCGGCTGCCTGTTGTGTTGCCATAAAACACCCATAAACTGATGGTCGGTCCCGGACCTTCATTAATGTCAGAGAAGGGGAGGACCCTGGTGCTCAAGCTTGAGTTTCCTAAATCTTAGAATGGCAGAGCTGGCAGGGACCTCGTGGGTCATCCAGTCCCCAGCAGGGCACTGTCAGGAGGGCTCCGTGGGGAATTGAACTCTCAGCCGAAACCCCTGAGCTATCCAGCAGTTAATCCTAGAAAGGTTTCCTTTACATGCCCCGAGGCATCCCCCCCCCTTTTTATTGTGTGTCTCCTGTGACAATACTTATTTTAGGCCTGACCACTCAAAACATTTTCAGTTCTGGCCTGCATATCAAGAGAGATGAAGGACCGTATTTGTTTATTTGCTTTATCACCTGCTGCTACCTCAAGGGTATAATAGGACTCCACCACTCAAGGGAAACACTTGGCTCTTCTTTTCTCTCCTACTTGTTTCTAAGGCTGACTGGCTAGGCTATTATTCCAGGTACAGCTGTGCTCATGAAGTAAGACGAAGTGCATGAAAGTCAGGTTCATGTGATTTCTTGCAGTATAGCGCTTATACAGTCAGTTCTCAAAATATTCCATTGTTGTGCAGTTGTTCTGACAAAGTATATGATTCATAGGGCAACCAAGACAAAAGATCAACCTGGAAACAGCTTTGGGGAATATAATTTATTGAGATACGATTTCTGTTAAATAAAATGAACTTTCAAGCTTGCCTAGAGAATTCCCAAATAATTCTTTATGCCTTTGATAGCAAGGTGTCCATTTCACTGCAATACATGAACCCCAGCATTTTGTTAATCCAGTATGACATAATGTGCAAGAAAACTAGTGTGTGCCTTCTAATTTGCAGTATATCTTTCACAGATATAGGTGTGAAGTTGCCTGTTTTTCTCCACACTCACAAAGAATTGTGGTGGTGCAAAAACTCCCATTTTCCTAAGCTCTCTGTTCTACTTTAAGACTATCAAATTTTCAAATATACCCAGCATCTCTCCTCACAATTTTTTTCTTTAAGATTTAACCTGAAGAATAGTTGTAGTGAATTCAAATGATTGCACATTATTTTATGGTATTTAAATTTTTCCTGGTGAGCATTTTATGGCTTTTTCCTCTGATGGACTAACATGACTAATAATAATAATCCTGGGACTGTGCAACTTGCCTACAGTCACACAGGCTGGCTCTTTTGGGGTACATGAGGGAACTGAACTCCCAGCCTCTGACTCCACTGCTGGAAACTTAACTCATTCCAACCAGCCAACGTGAATATGTGCATGTTTTAATTGACTTGCAGAATTGGCATCATATTTAAATTTATCTGCACCAGAGTCAATATTCCATAAGGATATTATGAGGTTTATGCAAAAGAACAAGTAAGAGCGCTTTTTAATGACTGTGTTATCTACTCACAATTATAGCAAAGGGGCTTAAAAGGAACATGTTGTTTTGTGAATTTTGCCTACTTAAGACCCTCAACGTAATAAAATTTGAGATAATAATTAGCAATAAATATATGTATGTTGAGAAGTTCAACTCTCTTGGGTCTATGCTATGAAAGGATGGAAGATACTTGACCTTTTAGGTTTTGTAGGACTGCACCCCCCCCATCATCCCAACTTTGGCTATACAGTGGTGCCTTGCTTAATGATTGCTTCGTACAACTAAAAATTCACTTAACGATGGCTTTTTCGGAGTGATCTTGTGCTTCACTTAATGATTTTCCCTATGGGCGATTTTCGCTTAACGATTTCGGGACCATGCTTCACTTAACGATGACAGTTTTAGGTCCCCTTGTTTCGCTTAACGTTTTTTTTTACAGCCCCGTTTTTGCTATTTTTAAAATATTCTAAAATGTTTAAAAATGTTTACAATGCTTGGAATCGTTAGTGCACCTAATAAAACCTTCGTTAACTTAATTTGGCTTTGTTCTGAGTCTTTTTGAATTTTTTGTGAATTTTTTCCCCCATTGAAATAGGCTTCAATGCATTTCAATGGGTTTCGCTTAACGTTTTTTCCTATGGGGATTTTCGTTTAAGGATGGTAATCCGTTCCAATGGTAATCCGTTCCAAACGCTGCCCCCCGCAGCGTTTTCGCAACCTCGGTAAGCAAGGGGAGGGCGCGAAAACACTGACGGGGGCCATTTCGGGTCATCCGGTGGCCATTGGGCTCCAAAATGGCTGCCGGACGCCCCAATCGTCGCAAAGCGAGTGCGGCGATTGGGGCAGCTCCGTATAGCGATCCCCATCATCCCAACTTTGGCTATACTGTATTGTATAGGAATGATGGGAATTGCATGCAACAATATCTGAAAGACCACACATTTCCTAGACCTGCTGTACAGGGAAATTTGAGCATATAAGAACGAGGAAAGGATTCTTTCCCTTTACTGCTTAAACAGACAACACTATTGTCTGTTTAACTAGACAATGCCTATTATACAGGCCAAACCATGCTTAACTTCTAAGATTTGATGGGATATGATGTTAGGGTGGTGTGGCAACAAGCTGATTTGATGTAGAAACCTCTGTTTTATCTGTTCATAAAGTTATCACAAGGCTAGGCATCACTTAGAACTACTGGATACTGTATTTTTCTGTGTACACGACCCCCCAATGTATAAAATAATCCCCTAATTTTGACCCTTGAGGGAGGCGGAGGAGCAGTTAATGGGCAACTGCTCCTCCACCTCCATCTTCTGCTGTTGCTGCTGTCTCTGCTGCCTGCCCATCACCACCTACAGCTCACCTATGTGGTGAGGCCAGCTCACCTACAGCCTTGTCCCCTGCCCTAAGGAGAGGATCGCTGGAGGAGGTGATCCCCCATCACCTCCTCCAGCTCACCTACAGCTCACGTCGCCGCCTTGTCCCCTGCCCTAAGGAGATGATCGCTGGAGGAGGTGATCCAGCCACGGCAGCTGCAGGAAGAGGTGCCGGAGTGCGCATGAGTGCTTGTTTGCCTCTGCTTCCTCCTGCCTTCCCCACCGGAGGGGACAAGATACTGATGTGAGCTGAGCTCATCAGTCCCACTTCCTCCAGCTCACCTACAGCTCACGTCGCCGCCTTGTCCCCTGCCCTAAGGAGATGATCGCTGGAGGAGGTGATCCAGCCACGGCAGCTGCAGGAAGAGGTGCCGGAGTGCGCATGAGTGCTTGTTTGCCTCTGCTTCCTCCTGCCTTCCCCACCGGAGGGGACAAGATACTGATGTGAGCTGAGCTCATCAGTCCCACTGTAGGTGGTGATCAGGCAGGCGGGGGTGGCAGCAGCAAGAGGTGCCTGAGCACGTGTGAATGCTCCTTTGCCTCCGTTTCCTCCTTCTCCTGCTGCTGCCTCAGCCAAGCCATGAGAGGACAAGCCGTGAGGCAGCAACAGCAGCAAGAGGTGCCCAAGAGCGTGCACGGCTGCTTCCTTCCATGTATAAAACAACCCTCAAATTTTCCTCTAATTATTTTAGGGGAAAGTGTCATTTTATACATGGAAAACTATGGTAGCTCAGTGGTTTAGGTCTCTGGCTGTGGAATCAGAGGTTGGGAGTTCAATTCTCCACTTTGCCTCCTTGACAGGGGCTAGCTAGACTCTATGATGGGTCCCTTCTAGCTCTGCAGTTCTAAGATCATCACCATCATCACTATTATATGTGGATGGAGCAGAAGTGCCATAAACAGCTTCCCATGATTTTTAGAATTCGTGAATTTTTATTGCAACATACACAGAGAAGTGGTGCCTAGATTGATGAAGGCCTGTATGGGCAAAAAGCTAGCATTTGTTTGTGATTTTAGGGGTCTATTAAAGATATAATTTTTGCATTTGGATTGTTTACAAAGTCCACACAGCTTTTTTCTCCTTTTGTAGCACTCTTTATTATCTTCTTTCTGTGGAATTGGAAGGTATTGTTGAACATTTAGACTGCAATCCATTGTTTTATATTCCATTTTTGCTGAAATATTCTTGTTATTATGAATTTGATAGATTCAGTTTTTGTAGTTTCCAATTTTGCCCATCTATTCCTGCTGACTTATATTCTTCCAATTGCATTGTGAGTGGCTTTCATTTCACTTTCTATAATTGCAGATTCCTTATCACCAATTTCTGTTTCAAAGGACTGTATCATTCTTGCATCTCTTTAGTTCTTCAGTATTTTATTTCTTTCTTTCTTTTATTTTGATCAGATATTCTATTGTTGTTAACGGCTTTGTTGAGGGAAGAGCTAAAATCTGCTTCACAGTCATTGAAGTCAGGTGTGTTTTATGAAATCCAATGTTTGACATGGATTTAACCTTGATAAGATTATAAGATTATATAACTTCGATAAGATTATACTGAATTTGCTAATTTTCTCATGTCACTTTAATTATTTTTTTCCCCTGATACTACCGTATTTTTTGCACCATAAGACGTGATAAGATTATACTGAATTTGTTAATTTTCTCATGTCACTTTAATTATTAACTTTTTCCCTGATACTACTTTTAAAGTGATTCTTATAGTAGAACCTCAACGCTCATGGTGTTCTTGATAGAAGAGTGAATTATCAAGATGACATATTTCATTAGTTTTTGTCCAAACAAAATGTGATGACAGAAATGAGTACTATGTGTGTTACCAAAAGAAAAAAGGCACACATTTATTTAAATTCTAACTTCTTTTTCCAGGCATATGCACTCAACCATGGTGTTCTTGATAGAAGAGTGAATTATCAAGATGACATATTTCATTAGTTTTTGTCCAAACAAAATGTGATGACAGAGATGAATACTATGTGTGTTACCAAAAGAAAAAAGGCACACATTTATTTAAATTCTAACTTCTTTTTCCAGGCATATGCATCAGGATGTGATATTGTGATACTGGGGACAGATTTTGAAAGATTACAAATAATTCCTGGAGCAAAACATGGAAATATACAAGTGGGATGTGTAGATTGCTCTATGCAGCAAGGGAAAGTAAGTAATAATGTCACTTCTATTGATTTTTTTTTCATTTCACTTGTTGTAATATGTTTTTTGCAGTAGAACTTTCTATATTAAGAATAACGATTCTGAAAATATTTCAACTTGTGTGCCATTCACAAGGATCAGTATATAAGCAGATAAGGTAAAATCTTGCTTATTCCACTCCTAGAACATACTTGTTTTTACAGTCCTGTCCTGCATCATATTAATAGTCCTGTCTTCCTCCTATCAAAAGATATATCCTTGACAGTTGGGATCTGTGGGGCACTAGTTAATAGAAAGTGTCTGATACAGTTTAGGTATACCATCTTGCATCCTAATATTCAAACATATTCAGGGCATTTTCTGTGGAGGTTTTTTTTTTGCCATGTGACCCTGAGTAGTCACACAGAGCAGGATCTACAGTTAGTCACACAGAACAGGATCTACAGTTAGACAAGTAGAATTACCAGCACTGTCACACTAAGAACTCTATCTCCCTCTACTGCTTATCCATATTCTGTCCTCAATAATCTCCTCCTAATGTTTAATCTGTACAAGAGTACAAATTAAACCTCAAGAAAATCAAATGTGGTGACATACCTGGCTACTTTAGAATGATCCATCAGGTGAAATTGGATCCACCTGACTGTTTGGTTTTTTTTTGCATAGTATGTCACTAAATGTAATCTCAGCCAATGTTCTTCTAGCAAAGAGAGATACCAAATGCTTCAACAGAAGGTAGTGAAGGATTCTTATTGTCTATAAAATTGAAAAAATACAATTAACGGTATATCCTTTGAAGTGAAATTTGATACCAACATACCTCCGGTTGGTTTTTAAAAATTGTAGCTGCCATCTTGGGACTTCACATTAATTATAGATCCTGAAGCATCATTACTGGGCCAGGATGAGTTTTGGACATTTCTGTCCTTGTCTGGCAACCTCTGACATACTTTTATTTATTTTTTTATTTATTGGACTTATATACCGCCCCATAGCGCTACAAGCACTCTCCGGGCGGTTTACAATTTTTAATTATACAGGCTATGCATTGCCCCCCCAGCAAGCTGGGTACCGACCTCGGAAGGATGGAAGGCTGAGTCAACATACCCAGCATAAAGAAGAGTGTTGCAGAAAGCAAGGGCTGATCTGTTTGATATTTTAGTGGTATAATAAAGATACCAAGCATTCTATGTTATTCTTTAAGAAAAATGTAAAAAGTTTAAATATCTGATATAAGCTTTAAAAATGTAATAATATTTTAATTACTTCTTTCTGTCCACCATGAGGGAAATAGATAATACTATACTGTGCTTTTTCTGCATAAGAAATTTTATTAGCTATCATGGTAATCTTTTAAAATTTCTTTCAAAATAATTCTTCATTTTCTATAGGAGTGTATACTGTTCATGTTTTTTAAAATAGCAGCACACAATGTCTTTATGGCTGCTTACTTCCTTTAGTACTCTAGATTCTGTAAATCTGATAAAATTCTAGTTGGCATATTTAGTTCATGCTGATATTTTAGTCTGGTGATTTGTTTTTGTACCCATTTCTTACATTGCTTGGGTTTATATCTGACTGCATTTATCTAAGGCCTCTGCAGAAAAATAGCATTATATAAAGATTTTTGGACTATATCTTTTTTAAAATACTTGTCCTGTGTTAGCTAGGAGTGTAGTGGTGCAGAGCAGGACAAGATGGCAGCCGTATCTTATGTCTGACATGATTTTACAGTTCTTATTTTTAGGCACTTATTGAAGACATAGCTATCTTTCTAAGCCTTCCAGGTATAGTTCATCCTACCAAATGTTTCACTGTTATGGATGAAAGAGGTAGTGTATGCTTGTTATATGAAAAACCAGTGTAGCTTGGTGAGTTGGAGCATCTGGCTACAGGGCTGCCCGCCAGAAGTTTGAATCGTGACTGTGACTTCTGGGAAGGAGTCAGCTGAGATCACTTAGAGCAGTGATGATAAACCTATGGCACGCATGCCACAGCTGGCACGCAGAGCCCTTTCTGCAGGCACGCGAGCCATAAGTCGCCAAATCACTATCCCCCCCCCCGGCAAACCTCAGGAGGTGGCTGCAGCTGCGGTGCTGGTGCTTCAACAGGCGGCTGGCCAGGATCCGGAGCAGCTGGTGCTGGCAGCAGATCCGGGGGGAGGTCTTGAGGCACCTCCGTGCCCAGGATTCCCCCTTCCACCACCACTTCCGGTTCCTCTGCCACTGCCACAGCCCGCCAGGTTGTTTTGTTTTGTTTTTCCCCAGTTTGGGCATTCGGGCCCAAAAAAGTTTACCGCCACTGACCTAGAGGAAGTTAGTCATGCTGTCCTATGTGCCCTGCCTTTCATATAGCTTTGGGCAAGTATATGTTATCAAAACACAGCCAGGAGGAATGACTAAAGTCTTTTTCGTAACAATTCAGTATTATTATTGTTGTTGGTGATGTTGTTATATTGAATTTCTTATTTCTCAGCTTTGCTGGTACATGGGAGTGGGCCAAAGGGTCAAATTTGAAAATTAGAAGTTGTCCTAAACATATGTAGGAGATATACGATGATTGCTAAATCACTGATTGTTTTATTTCTTTAAGCAAATTAATAGCTATTGGCAATTATTTTAAATTGGTAACCAAAGATTTTGGAATGACTCCAGTTGCTGAAATTAGTACTGGGAAGGCAATGATCTCATCATGTCTTCTGTGTTTTTAATTTCTTGCCTTAAAGTTTGCTGCTTTACAATTTTGGTTCTTTCTGTACTTTTGAGATCACTTGTTCAGGGAACTCCAACTTCCATGAGATTTGTTTATAATCCAGAAGTATTATATCCATTTTATTAGAATCAACTGTTTTATCCATGGTAATTTGCCCGCCCCAGTGTAGTATTGTAGTTTAATTTTCTAAAACTGGAGGTGGCTGCAATTTATAATATGGAAGAGATGTGAGTAATCCATAACATTTAGCCACCTGCTGAAAAAATGATTTTTACAACTTGGTTATGTTGGCACATATAATCTGTTGATGCTAGCATAGGGCATCTTGGCATGACACTATGCTTTTTTCTTTCGATTTCTGAGTGATACATGTGCACATGTAAGTAATGTCTACATGTATGTGAGGTGAAGAACCAACTCGCCCAGGATCAGGAGAGTGTACTGTCAGACTCTCAGATAAAGACAGAAGCACAAGAGACAGTAGTGATAGAAAAGGAATTGAGTAAACTAGAAATAAGAGACTGTAGGGCCACAAATCAGGCGGGAAAGGAAGAGGATAAATAGAAATAAAAGAAGAGACTGTAGGGCCACAAATCAGGCAGGAAAGGAAGAGGATAAGGAGGGGGTGGAGGCAGAAGCATGTTGAAGAAGAGAAGAGAAAGGAGAGGAAAAAGAAGAGGGGTGGAGGCAGAAGAAGAGAAGAGAAAGAAGAGGAAAAAGAAAAACTTGTAGAAGTGATCCAAGAAGACCCTTGAACAGGAGAGTGGGTAGAATTCAAGGTGCCCCATGAGTACGCTGAAAGGGAATGGAGACGACAGATGTACAGTATAGGAAGCCACCTTACTGGGGGGAGACTGAGGAGCGAAAGCAAAGGAAGGAGTACAAAGCGTGGGACTGCAGCTCCCAGAAACCTTCACCACTAGCTGTGCTGGCAAGGGCTTCTGGGAGTTGCAGTCCAAGAATGTCTGGGGACTTCAAGCTTGGGAACCACTGGTCTAAAAACTTCCACAGAGATGAGTGCACACAGTTGATCTGAAAGGCAGATTTCGTCTAAGCATTTTATTTTGTGCCCAAAGATGTAGTTATCCAGAGAAGTTGTTGAAAAACATCCATTACAGTTGCTTTTTGTTTGGGTAAAGTAAAGGTGGGAGGCAGAACAAAAAACAGCTGGGCTGTGGCTGCAGGCCCTCTGTGCCACAATACTGTACTTTGAAGGGCCATATTTGCCACAGGACTAGTCAACAGTCTGGACTTGCTCTATTCCAAATTTGGGGATATTTGGGTTTTAAAGCTGCAACTTTATTTTCTTTTGAAAAATTATTTCCCAGTCCCATTCTCCCATTCAGCAACTATTGAAGGGAAGCAGGCAGCACATTCCTGAAATAAATTTTAATCACCAGCCTCCCCTATCTTAAAAGAGTATTGTTTCCTCTACCTACTTTTCTTTTTTCTTTTTTTTTTTTGAAGGCAGTCTGTTCTGTACTTGTATTTCCTCTACCTACTTTTCTTTTTTTCTTTTTTTTTCTTTTTTGAAGGCAGTCTGTTCTGTACTTGTTGAAATATCTGTCAGTTAAGATGGCCCTTTTAAATAGCAAGAACAAATCCTTATAACTCTTGAGCATGTTCAGTAAAAGCTTGCTGAGAGGAACAATGAACCCATAAGCATTCCTTTGCCTTTACTTCTCCCAGTACATCATTGATTGAATCAGGACAATAAAGGGTATCTTTGCTTTCTGTTTTTTCCCACTTAATGGGCCAGGCACAGTTAGAAAAAAGATCTTGGGAAATCTTCTTGCAAAGCCCCCTGGACATCCAGTTTGACGGCTGTGGTTCAGAGAGTGGTGGTGGGCTTGACTGGTGGTGGTGGGCTGAAATCCAACAAACTCTGGAATATGGTAAAAGGAGGGAGAGAAGCTGAGGAGAGAAGGGGGAATAAAAAAAAAAACAGGCAAAATGAAGGCCAGTACTGTATATTTTCTAATATTTTGGCAGAGTGTTGTTGTTTACGGAAGCAACATACGTTTCTAATGATAGTTGACATTAAGATGTTTAAACATATTTTCTTCATTTTGCTGGAAAGATCCCTGGATCTGCTTCTCACTCTGCTACATATAAAACTATTTTGCTTTTAATAACTTTGTTACTGTTTTACAGAGATACGGTAAGTACAGTAGTACCTTAGCACCCGGCCACGGACTGGGGGTTGGGGACTCCTGTTCTAAAGGGTAGTAAATACTTGTATATGAGGTAACTCTTCTGACTGGTTGACCACTGTGGGTCCTTTCACCTTGGTACATCCTTGTACATGTTTGAGCCTGTCTGATTTACTCCAGAAAGCCCAGAGTTTGCTTTTTTCATGGAGGACAGCATGTTCTTCCACCATTGTCTAAATCTACCTAATTGTTCCAAAGAAAGAAGGAAGGAGAGATTAAAAGGAGGGTGGGAGAAAACCTGAGGTAATTTTATATACATGTGCTGTACAAATTGAACAGGTGTAGGGTAGGACCTTCGCTGATTTTTTTTTGCTGGCAGTCCAATGAAATCCGGCAGAATAGGAAAAGGATTTCCCCTTCCTTTTAAACCTCCAGAAGCCTTCTCCATGTGTCCGAGAAACCTACTAGATCTGGTTTTCAGATGGTCCCAAGGGTTTATGGGGATAGGGATGGAAAGGCAGGTTATGCAGCGCTAGCACAGCAGTGGATTTAGGCCATAAATATGCACTTTAACTTTCAGTTCAAGACTTTGGAGAACTACATGTGACCATCTCTAGACAAAGAACTCTTATACTTTGAGATCATATGGAAAATTGGCCTTTTCCTGAATGATTATACTAGAAGGGGAGCTGGATACAGGCTTAAGGGTGTGAAGGGAAAATAAAAACTTTTTTTAGGAGAGAAAGACCCATTAATTTTAACATGCTATTTGTTTTAGATTGCAGCTTCTTATGGGAGTGTGATTTGTATCTTTGAGCCAGTACAGCACCTGAAAGTGAAGAATGGTCATCATACTGTGAGTGATTCATCCTTTGTAAATTACACATATTGAATAATTTGGGTTTTTTTTTTACTTCAAATGCATACTAAATTTTAATAAATAGTTCTGAATTATTCAAGTTGTTTCCCCTTAAAGAATGGAAGAGGTTTGCTGTCCAGTTACTGAGCATACCCATGCATCTTTAGGCATTGTGCTCTAAAACACATGAGAAACGCAAATCTAACATCAGAGATCTGAATGACTGCACAATTCCAAATTGGTAGTGGAAGGAGAATTCCTGAGTGCCTCTTCTTTTGTAGTAAATTTTAAGGAGTAATCGTTCTTATGTCTGAACCCTTCCTTTGTGGAATAGCCTTTTATGGGTGAGAGAAGATCATTATAGTGGTGTTGGAGACACTAATCTTGTCAAAACAGAACACAATGAGGCTTGTGTTCCCCAACAGGAACATATTTATTCTATAAACAGTAGCCTGAAGTCATCTAGTCTTCTCTGTTAGGAGTATGAGTAAAGAACAGAAGAATGCTAAATAGTTTGCTCCCTACAATCTTCAGGTGAAAAAGCCTAAGCCAAGAAACCAAAGCGCCGGACATCTCTGCCAAGGCACCATTGCTTCCTCTGTTGCCCCATGTCAAGGCTCTAGGTGACCATGATGACCACTGCAATAATCTCATCTGCCTTGGCTCAGCATCATAAGAAAAAATGTTCCATACTAGGGCATTGTTACCAGTTTTGAGACACTCACCCTTTGTAACTAGATAGACACAGAAAAAATTCTCTCTCTCCCACCCTTACCTCTCCTACACAAAGTCATAGTAAAATTATGCCAAGAAAACATGGATGTGATACTTATAGCCCCTTGATGTCAATGCCAATCCTGCTTCACTATCCTCAGAAAAATAGAGCCAGACATATATCACCTCCCACTAACTCCAGACCTGATCACACAAGATGTGAGTGCAGTTTGTCACCCCCACAAGATGAGGGAGCAGTCTGTTACCCAAATTGACAGCTTGGAGGATTTACCTGAATCCCGTCTGAATCAAGGAAACTATCTGCTAATTCTGAACTAATTATGGGTACAAATGGCAAAAAAATTGTTGACTTTGTCACATCTTTATAGAAGCTACACTTTCCACTGAAGTTCCATACAGGCCTTGCTTTTGATTACATCTCAGACAGAATGGTCTTTCTCAGTTATCTATAAGAGTGTATTTGTCACACCAACCACAAGGTTCTGCTTCCTCCCATTTCTTTAGAAATTGAGTCCTCAAAAGGTTCTTGAAAGATCTGCAAAATGTTTACCTAGACATCAGAGCCTTGTTCCCACAGTGGTCTCTTACACTGGTACTTTCTAAACAAGTGAAAACCCTGTTTAAACCAATGGCATCCTCCAGCTTCAGATTATTCTCCTATAAGACCCTATTTTTGGTTGCTGTTACCTCTGCACATGTTGTTTAGTCGTTCAGTTGTGTCCGACTCTTCGTGACTCCATGGACCAGAGCACGCCAGGCCCTCCTGTCTTCCACTGCCTCCCGGAGTTCAGTCAAATTCGTGTTGGTAGCTTCGATGACACTATCCAACCATCTCGTCTTCTGTCGTCCGCTTCTGCACGTAGGGCTAGTCAATTGGCCATCCTTTATTTCAACTCACCCTTCGTACAGTTTTACAACGACAAGGTATCATTGTTTCCAGATCTCTGGTTTCACCTCAACCAGTCCTTGATACTCCCCACATTTTTCCTGTCAGCTACCTCAGATTTGGGAAAGTTACTCCATACCCTGGATGTCCATAGGGCATTAGCCTTCTACACTTCCAGGACCAAGGACTTTTGAAAGTATTAGTTTGTTAGTCACCAAGGTCACTATGAGTCACTATGTCATACCTCAGAGACTGTCTAAATTGATAGTTAGCACAATTGTTTTGTGCTGCCAACTAGCAAAGAAGCCAGAGTTCCTTGAAAGGGCACTGTACTAGATGTGTTGCTGCATCTGTGGCATTTTTCAGAGGAGTTCAACTGAGAGACATCTGCAAAGCAGCAGCTTGGTCACATCTTACAGCTTGGACTTGGGGACTAAGCTGGACTCTCCTTTGTCAGAGTGGAGATCTCTGCATTAGCATGACATTCCACTGTAAGTGGGCTTTCAGCCACCTACATGTGTCATTTCACAGAGATAACAAGGAAGGATAAGTCATTTATCTGTAACTATAGTTCTTTGAGGGGTCATCTGTGAATTCACTTAACCCATCCATCTTCCTTACAGTCTGTCATGCAAATCCTGTTTCTTCTGAGTCACTGGAAGACTTGAGGATGGTTCTTGGAGTGAACAGGGTGTGTCTTAACACTTTTACAAGCTCTAGAAGATTTCAATGACATTTTCTTAGGCACAGAACAAACCCACGTGTGAATTCACAGATGACCCCTCAAAGAACTACACTTACAGTTTAGTAACCCGTCAATACTGTAGTTTGCCATTAATGTGATGAGTTCACTGACTGGTAATACAAACAGAAGCAGAGCTTATTTAATTAGCGTCTCTTTCAAAGTAAATGTGAAACTTTTCAGATGTCTGAACCTCTCTGATATTGAAACTAAAGGAAAATATGTGGATTTACTTCAGATGCTGATCCATCATAGGAAACTTAAATGAGATTTCTAGAGCAACTAAGCAAATGTGTGAATTGCTTCAATATGCATTCTGAGGATTTAGGTTATAACAGAATCATTTGTTTCTATTCAGAAGTTAGCTTTCTTGCTTTTAATGGGAATTTACTTCCATATAAATATATGTAGAATTTGAGATTTGTTTCACTCATGATGCATTTGGAAGCTAAATTGTGTAAAAACTAAGAAATTCTTGAAGAATTTATTTATTTATTTATTTTATTTTATTTTATTTTATTTTATTTATATCCCACCTATCTGGTCAAGCGAGGACCACTCTAGGCGGCTAACAATCTTAATGTTTAAATAGAATGTTTAAATAGATTTTTTTGACCAGTTCTATGTGCTGCCAGTAGCATTTTACACTTAATTTTGTGTCTTCTTGCTGCAACTCTAGTCCATAGTAGGCTGTATCTGTTGGGGATTATTCAGTGTCCCTCTGTGGATGCTGAAAAACCATGGATATTAGCAAACAAATAGCAAACACTCTGCTTTTAAAGTTATGATATGTCAGAATGATCAGCTGCCTCCCAAGAACAGCACTCTCCTGGGCCACACCCTCTCCGTGAGCCAATTGATCCTCCCTCCTCATTGCAATTTTCGGACTGTGTCCAACTGGATTATGTGAAACTCTATACAGTGATGCCTCGCAAGACAAAAATAATTTGTTCCGCGAGTCATTTCGTATTGCAAACATTTCGTCTTGCAAAATTTCCCATAGGAGTGCATTTCAATGCATTTCCCATAGGAATGCATTAGAAAAAAATTTGTCTTCCGAAGCACGGCCATAGCCACACAAAAAATCGCAAAACGCTTTCGTCTTGTGAGTTTTTCGTTGCACGAGGCATTTGTCTTGTGAGGCATCACTGTATATTGGTCTCATGGATACAGTGGCCTACTCTGCTGTATGCCATTTGTTCTTATATTTTACCATTTTATCAGTTTATGTTCTGCTTGTGTTTCTGCTTTAAAACTTGACATTAAAATCTAAGTTTCTTTCACATACTCTTATATGTGGATAATATTAAATAGCAGTTATTTCTGCTGAATTTATTATGTGTTTGACCCAGCAACCTTCTAATTGAAAAGGAAGTTTTTGAAATTAGCATTTCATATGATATTTGTGTCTTGTTTTAGGGATTGCATTATCAGTGGCAGAAGGCAGCTCAAATTTCACTGGGAGATGTAGTGCATAACTTAACATGGGATCCTACAGGTGAGTGGAACAATAATGAACTATTTTCCTTGTCCGTTTTTTTTATTTGATTTTTGTGATCAGAGGAACTGCTAAAATATATTTCTGGTGACTGGAACTAGATTGATAGATAGATTGATTCTTTCTACTAAATGATAGGAATAAAGATGGTATTCTTCATGCTGTATATTTTTGCTGGTTCAAAATGAAACTATCATGGGGTCACTGTCTTCTTGTTCTTCTGTGCTGTCAAGTCCCCCCTCTGATTTATGGCGACTTTATGAATGAACAACTTCCAGAATGTCCTCCCCTCAGCCTCACTGCTCAGCAACTGTATATACAAGACTGTGGTTTTTTTGTGGAGCCAATCCATCTCATACTTGGTCTTCCTTGTTTCCTGCTGCCTTTAACTTTTCACTGCTTTATTGTCTTTTCTTGCCTTCTCATGATGTGCCCAAAGTATGACAGCCTCTTATTCTTTTCCTATAACAAGTGACTGTCTTAGAGGAAGATATCTGATATTAATCTTTGAATGAACATAAATGGTGTTAACAGTTTATTCATAACAAGTAGATCAATTTGTTCCTCTCAAGGGCCTAGACTTTCTCAGCTGGAGCAGCTGAATCCAGTGGAAATTCGGTAGATGCCCCTCCCTATTGTGTCTTTCTGCCCCCTCTCCCCCACCCCCTGAATCTTGGATGGCTAAGGAACTCACCATATCTGGTTTTCAAACAGTGCACATAACTGCAAAGGGAAGTGTCGGAGCTTCCATCATTCTGATGCTGTGATACTAGAAGTATGTTGTTTCTAGGTCCAAGAGTTTATCGTCTTAGGCATACAGTATATTTCATGGTAAATTATTTGACTTTATTGAATGATTCTATTGTTCTTTATATGTGCATATTTACAAAATATAGGCACTCGTCTGTTAACTGGTTCCAGTTGTTTGCAACTTTGGTCCAATGTAAACTTTGAAAGTCCAACAGAAGAAGAAAATCCTGAAAAAGCAGATGCTCAGAACTGGAAAATTGTTTGGCAATGCAAGTAAGATGTTAGCTACTACAAACCATTTTATGGAGTACTCAGAATTAATTCTAAGCTATGTAGAAAGAACTGGCCTCAGTGGCTACTATTGTTGCTCTCTGTTCTCCACAACACAATGTATTGTACCAATTTTCTATTCATGTCAGTTATGAGGAAAAAATTACAAGTGCTTAAAACCCTTCCTGCATTTACTGTATGAATAGTTATTACTCTAGGTCAGTGACTTATGGCAAGCGTGTCACAGTTGGCACGCAGAGCCCTCTCTGTGGGCACGCGAGCCCAAAGTCACTGGATCAGTATCCCCGGCAGCCAAACCCGAGGAGGCAGCTGCAATGCTAGCACCCCAACAGGCAGCAGGCGAGGATCCGGAGCAGCTGGCGCTGGTGGCGGCAGGCTGGCCAAGCTATAGATAGTGGCAGGGTTGAGCATGACTGAAGGCGGATCCAGAGTAGAGTCTGGAGGCACAAGGCAGATCCAGAGTAGAGTCTGGAGGCACCTCTGTGCCCAGGATTCCCACTTCCACTGCCGCTACTTCCTCCGCTTCTGCCGCCACCTGCCGCCTGCTGGGTTGTGGGTTTTTTTGTGTCTTTTAGCACCTTGGGAACTCGGGCTCAAAAAGGTTCACCATCATGGCTCTAGGATGTGGCAGCAGATGTAAATAGGCAAATAAGATAATTTAGCTTCTTTAAAATACCAAGTTACAGAGGTACACAGTAGTTGTATGATCAGAAGAATAGTTTATTTCAATTGAGCTCACTTATCTTTGACTGTTAAAGATGCTCTTAAAAGACTTCCTTAAAGTTCTGAAGTATATTCTGCACTGCATAGATGGAATATATTTGGAAGTTCCAGTGGGACTCCAGTACTCTTCTACTTCACAGGATCATAACTTCCCATTGTAAATAAAACAGACAGTATGAATGCTAGAACTTAATAGGGCCAATTCTACCATTTGTTAAAGTGAGACTCAGACTTCAAATATTGGCAGTAGAGATGGTCATATGAAGGCCTCCTCCTGGCATCATAGGTGCTGGATGTTTCCTCCTTCTGGATAGCTGGCCCACCGACATGTCATAACATGCTGCCGGGGTCCTCTTCCTGTGGCAGTGGGCCAGTGTAGACAAGAGCTTGGTCTGCCCTTCCCTGCCTTGTCTGGCAGCCGGCCACTCAGGTGAGGAGGCAGGATGGGGATTCTCCCTTTACAGCCATTGAGTGATCAGCTTCCAGAGGAGGTGAGGAAGGGCAGCCAGAGCTTCTGCCTGCACTGGCCCACCACTGCAGAATGAGGACCCTGGCAATGCATGCATTGCCAGGGAATTGGTGGGGAGAGAATGTGTAGCACTTGTGGGGGCATGCCTTAAGTTGTGCCCATCTCTAATTGGCAAGGAATGGTGAAGCAAGCACTGCAAGATGAAACTGTATCTCCTATCTTTATTCTTCTAAGCTAGCTTGCTGCAGTAGAGGCAACCACACTGAAGTTGGATTCAACTGGTAGCCTTGTCTGCTTTTGCCCATGGAGTATGTTTGTATAGAGGGGCACCATATTGTCTTTTGCCTTAGGCAACAAAACATTTTTAGGGAAAATTTTCCTGTTTCCTCAGTAAAAAATGTATTATTTTACTACTGGAGGCTTTAAAAATGCAGTCTAGGAACAGAGAACAATGCAGTCTAGGAACAAATGTTGGAATATGTATGAGATAGAAACACCATGCATTTCATGTGTATACAAGTCACATCTAGCCATGGGGGATAAAATGCTGTAAATCTGTTTTTGATGAGATAGCAGCTAGGTAAACCTGACATTTCATTTTATGAGGTCTCAGCAGAGTCTACATAAGTGGTATCAGTTGTTATGAGTTAATAATCCGTAATAATGGTCAATTTCAAGTAAACTGTTTTTCAGTTTTAATATAATTTAACCATAGTTTAATTGTATTAGATTTTATGGTCTTGAGGAAAGTTTGACATAATCCTTTTTCCATTTATTTTATAGAACTGCTTCGGAGGTTCACCTAATGAAGTTTGCACCAGATGGAGAATTCTTTGCTACTGCAGGGAAGGTGAAACCATTTGATAAGCTTTGGAATTATTTGTTATTCCAGTCTGTATCTTTTCATTTTGCATGCTAATAGTGGTAACACTGCAGACTTTTGTAAAACCCACTAATTAATGATCAGTAAAGTGTTTTTACCAACTAATAAAGGATAGCAATAGGTGTTGGTATCTATTCCTCCATATGTAGTAATCAAACTTAGAAAAAGGCTTGCAGTCCATACTCAGTAGGAATCTGCCGCATTTTTGCTCAGACTGGAAATTTCCAAGCTTGGTGGGACAAGCTCAAGAATTCTACAACTTGCTTTTAGTGCTCAGGTGTTTCTGTAAGTAGTCCCCTGTGAGTTAGTTTAGGTACTGTATAGCTCCCTAAAGCTAGTGTCCAAGATTGATTGCAGTTGTAAAGATTTTTATTTTTTTATTTTATTTTTTATTTAGTATAGAACAAATGCTTGAAAAAATTTACTGGCAGAGTAACATTACAAGTTGGAAACCTTTACATTGTAAACCAAGTAATCATAAACTTAAATAATACTACTGGGCCCAGCAGTTTCTGTTTTGTGGGGTGTCACTAATCTTTAACCTTCATGTACGAGTATAAATAATGGATTTCGGGACATTTTCTGGCCTCTTTGGAATTGCAGTGTTCTGATAGTTAGCTGTACAGTTAGCACTGTGATTAGGGAATAGGCTTCATATACACCTTGATGCCTCCCAATCTTACTAAGAAAATTCTAGCATCTTCTCCAAATAGATCTGACATATTGATAATCAGAGTATATCACTTTTGTTTCTTGGCATTGTGGCTCATCAAAACATGAAATGTGACTTTTTGTCTCAATACATTATATTAACTGGGACAAAAAATACTTTCCTAGTCAAAAAATAAAATCAGTTGGAACTGTTGTTCCAGCTGTGTTTTGCTTGGTAAAAGAAAACTGTACATGTGGCAAGCAGCTGAAACATCTGGACATTGTTTCCAACTCTTCAGTGGTAACATTGCCTACATTTGCAGTACTGGAGCAAAATATGACTCTTAACACAAAACTGTGCTGCACTTTGCCAAAAGCTACTGAGTTCATATGATACTGAAGTTTCAGTTGCTTAAAGCAAAGAATGGTAGCAGAAGCCAGTCACAGTCATAAGTCTTCCTGGAGGTAGAGTGAGTTGAGAGATTTAACACCTACTAAGATGGTGTACTACACACACACACACACACACACACACCCTAAAGCACACTATAGAACTTAGTTGTCTTTATGATTCATAGATAGATGCGAATATGTTGTTTATAAAAAGTTTTCTTATGCTCATTGATCTGTAGTCTTCCCCCAAAAGTTTAAGACTGTCTAAACTAAAAAAAAAATGCTATCTGAAGAGGGAAGATTTTACCCTTGGTTAAGTGTATTTTTTATTTAGCTGAGGTCTGTCTGACCCAGCCCTGCTCTGTTTGTTAGGCAGTTGCACAGCCTTTACTGCAACTTCCACTGGTACTTAACCTTTCTAGTTCCAATTCTAGAGAGATTCCAAGTGGAATCTGCTCATCAATCATTGAATGAGGTAGTGTGTGGGGGACTTTTTTTTCAAAAGGAGAAATAAGAGATGGCACCCCTCTATGAATTATGGTCCTTGCAGACTCCCACCAGCAGTAGTTGGCCATGCACTACCAGCACCACTCCAAATGGGAAATCATTCTCCTTATTTCAATACATCTGCTGATTCAGTTTGGTGAAATTGAGATGGAATTCTGGTTTCTGTTCACTACACTGTGAATGAACATTGTGTAAGTATCAAAATGTCTATCATCTTGCTCTCATTAGCAGGATTATTAGGGTTGCCACAATTCAGCCCAGTAGCATTCTGATATCATAGCAGCAATCCATCTCTCCTAATCATGCTGTGACTGGCAGGCTGATGTTGACTTGCTGTTTCCATCAAAGTTGATAGCATGTATACTGACAGTGCTCCTGTACTTTCCTGCTTGGCTTCAATTCATACATCCACAATGTTGTCAGTTGCTTCTGCAGCGCCACTACTTCTACTTTCCTCATCTACCTGTTTTGTTCTGTTGTGTAGTCCATGATTTCAGCTTCAGCTTTGCTGGTCTACCACTTTGTGCTCCTACCCATACCATCACTCCCCATTAGGTGTTTCTGCACAGACCATGTCCACTTCCTTTGTGTCTGGTCTGCCCTTTAATTTTAGACTTCTGTCTTTGCCAGTGGATCTGCCTCTTCCATCTGTTACTCAGTTAGCTTCTTACTGTTGGTTGGGCCTTACTTTACTCTGGTGACAAGATCCCAGTCTCTCACAACCCAGATAGTACATGCTAACAGGCAAAACCTATTATGCCAGCTCAGTCTCAGTTGGCATCTTCAAATGATGGCTGTGATACTTGACTTTTCATTTGATTCCTCTCTACAAATATTTTCAAGGAGGTGTCATTTCTGTTCTAAGCATTTTCACTCTTATGCAGATCCAGTTCGGAGAATGGGTAAACGGCAAGAGATGTGGGTCAAAACTCCTCTACTAGTATCAGATCCAGTCATTCCAGTATTCATCACCAACAGTGAGCTTGATGTTACCATACAGTGGTGCCTCGCTTGATGACGTTAATCCGTTCCAGCAAAATTGCTGTAGAGCAAAATCGTCGTCAAGCGAAATAAAAAAGCCCATTGAAATGCATTGAAAACCATTCAGTGCGTTCCAATGGGCGAAATACCTGTTCATCCAGCAAAGATCCTCCATAGGGCGGCCATTTTCTGCTCCCTGTAGAGCGAAGAATCCATCCCTAACACAGCGGGGAGCCATTTTGCACAGTGGGCGGCCATTTTGGAAACCTAACGATCAGCTGTTTTGATCGTCGTCAAGCGAAAAATCGGTTCCCAAAGCAGGGAACCGATCACCATAAAGCGGTTTTCTCCTATCTAAACATCATTTTGCGATTGCAAAAACCTAATTGTTAAGCAGATTCGTCATGGAGCGGGGTAATCGTTACGCGGGGCACCACTATATTTGGTACAGAAGCCCTGGCCCAAGCCATCATCAAGTTATTCCAGTATAGAATATACCTGGCCCAAGCCATCATCAAGTTATTCCACTTCTAGAAGGATTAAGAATTTATAGTGAATCCAGGAGGTGAACCCAACATTCTTGTTTCAAAACTTGATCCCCATTCTGTTATGGTGGGGACAGCATAGACACATGTGTAGACACACTTGTGTTGGCAAAAGCCACACTACATTGTTGCTGAGTAGGAGGATGGATATGGTGGCATACAAGATTTATTCTTCAGTAGTTATCCCTGTCTTTATAACAAATTATCAGCAGTTCTTTGTAAACAAATGGATGTATTAATTTCACTCCTTTGTGAGAATGAAAGGAATAAGGCAACTCTGTTCCAGAATAAGGCATATTACATTTCTGGGCTTCAGATTAATACACTGTGCCATGTTGCAGAATGTGCTGGAGGGGTCATTGCTGTATCTGTCAGAAGACATGCCTAGCTGCAGAAATGTCTAAAGAAGTTACATGAAGGATAAAAGAGCTCTTATTCAGTAGTAGAGTATCATGAGAGAATAACTGTTGCTACTGTAGCTTTATTCTGCGAAACTCTTTAATTCTAATGTTGACTATTTCAGTAAACATATTAACTTAGATATGGAGATGGAATACACCTGTGCTTTTCAAGGGAACTTCAGGAATGTGAGACTGTGATAAAACAAGCCAAAGTAATGCTGGTGATGACCATCTCTTCCTATTCCAAATAGTAGTGCGCAGGGACACAATCTCCACTTTCTTTTTGAGCTATATCTTTCTCTATGTTCCATGTGTTGTAAGAAGTGAAGGAGAGACAAGACAAAGGGCAATACAGAGCCTTTCTGTGTTCAGAATCTACAATTAGCAGAATACTTGGACTAATTTGCTTTTACTCTACTTGCTAAGATTTGGAAAAAGTAAAAAGGTAGTGTAAGCTTTTGTTGCTTTTTATTTTGACCCATACGAAGTGGCTCCAGTGAGGAATGTGTTATTTGGTAGAAAAAATACAGTAATGGCTAATTGCCATGTGTAGCCCAATTATATGAACTGTCAAGAATAATTTTAAGGGGCAAATATCACTGTGAGCTGACTTCATCACTGTTGATATGGTTAAATGAGAAAATTTGAAGGTAATAGTTGAAAAGCTGCTTTAAGAGTTACAACGGTGTCTACTAAGCATCTATGAAAATCACACACTGGTCATTTTGAACATATTCATTAGTTGCAGCATCTGGTTACTAGTCCATTTCTGGGTCTGATTTAGAGTGCTAGTGTTACTTTTAAAATTCTAAATGGTTTAGGCCTAGTCTAACCAAAAGTGGTTTTCCACATATGTTCCTGCCTAATCTGACGACTGCAACTGGTCCAGAATCGAGCTGCGCGGCTGGTGAGTGGTGGGGCCGCTAAGGGACATATCAAGCTGATTCTGTTTAAGTTACATTGGCTACCAGTTGCTGCCCGGGCCCAATTCAGAGTGCTTGTTTCGACATATAAAGCCCTAAATGGCTTGGGCCCTGGATACCTGAAGGACTATCTCTTTCCATATGAACCTACCCGGCAGTTGAGATCTAGCCAGGGGCTCTTTTGAAAGAGCCGTCCCTTAAGGAGATAAGAGGGATGGCTTGTAGACAAAGGGCCTTTTCGGCAGCTGCCCCCAGACTATGGAATGCCCTCCCGACTGAGATTCGTCTGGTGCCGAAGCTGATGACATTTCAGTGCCAGGTCAAAATCTTCCTGTTCCAGAAGGCTTTTAATTGAAATAATACCAGCTGTGGGTCCAATGGCAATTTTTAGAGTATATATTTTAATTGTATTTTAATTGTTTTGTCTTTTTATTTTATTTTAAATGTTGTAAACCGCCCAGAGACCTTTCGGTAGTGTGGGCGGCATAAAAGTTGAATGAATGAATGAATGAATGAATGAATGAATAAATAAATAAATAAATAAATAGTCATCTCCAGAAGCTCTTCTCTGAGTACTGCAACCTACAGTGCTTTAATGGGTGGCCAATGTAATCTCCCTTCCATTTGTAGAATGCCCTCCCTAAGGATATCACCTTGGCATCATCGTTATGTAGTGAGATGCAAGGTTGCAGTCTTCACCTAGCATACAATCTTTAAACTTTGGGGGTTTTTAAATAAATTATACTGACTTTTAATTACCTTAGTATTCAGTCACATTAATAATTGTTTTACTTGTTATTTTGCTATCTTGTTTTATAGTTGTAATTTCTTTTTTGGGATGCTAGGATGATTGTCTCGTGAAGGTGTGGTATAACACTGATAGCTGGAAATCAGCAGTTGCGCCTCAAGTTACAACACCAGAAACAAAAACCCATGAAACTGATTTCTCATTTATTTACTTGGTTCATCCACGATCAGTTAATGGATTTTCATGGAGAAAGACAAGCAGCTACATGCCACGGTGAGAATGCTAACCATTTCAAGATTGAGTTATTAGAAGTTATGAATGCTTTTAAAGTTTGCATTGTGCTTCTCAAAATTCTTCCAGGCTTATTTAATTATCCACAGTGTTTAAATATTTAGGTATATCTAAGCAGACCTTCACTTATAAAGATACAACAGTCCAACAGATTTATTGTCCTGTTGAATTGAGGATCTGTATAACTTAACGGAATAGCATTGTGACTTCCTGATTGAGGGATATTGCTTGCAGCAATATAATTCATTTCCTCAAGAGTCCACAAGTAAGAGATCACATGTCAGTCATATGTAACTTCATGACTCTTCCTATCCTCTCACAACAAAAGTCTTATGAAACACTCTGGCAATATTGAAATCTGTCTTGAAATTTTGTTGCAAGACCAAATTGCAGGCATTCAGCCTGGTATTGGTGGGCAGGCCCATTTATGTAATATAGTATTATTTTTATTTTATTTATTGAAAGTCCTCTCATAGGTTCATGCAAATCAGCTCATGAATATGAATGGCATGAGTAACATGGGCGATCGCCACACATGTTTATGTAATATAGTATTATTTTTATTTTATTTATTGAAAGTGTATTTACCCCACATTTCTCCTTAAAAAGAGCCCAAGGCAGCTTACATCAGTAGTAATATTTAAAAACTAAAAACAGTAAATATACAAGTATTACAAAAGAATCAAATGCCACACTAACAAAACTAGCAACAAAAATGCAGACGAGGCAACAAGGCACAACAATGAATATACAGCGGTGCCCTGCTTGACAATGATAAGGCGTTCCAGCAAAATCGCTGTACAGCGAAATTGTCATCAAGCGGGGAAAAACCATTGGAATGCATTGAAAACTGGTCAATGCATTCCAATGGGGGAAATATCTGCTTGTCCAGTGATCTGCCACAGGGTGGCCATTTTACGATGCCTGTGTAGCGAAAATAGGTCCGGAAAACAGCGGGGAGCCATTTTGCGAACCGCCGATCAGCTGTTTTTAATTGGTTTGCGAAGCAGGGTCCAAATCATCATGAAGCGGAAAAAACCCATTGAAACCATCGTTTTGCGATCAATATAGCGATCGCAAAAAAATCCTTATTAAGCAATTTTGTCATCAAGCGGGGTCATTGTCAAGTGGGGTACCACTGTAGTAGTAATTAGTGATGCCAGCAAATTCATATCTGGCCATCTTTTATATCATTGTTGCTACCAAAGCAATGTAGTGGTTTAGCTTTCAGGTGAATCATCAGAACATAGGTGTGGAAGAGCCACTTTTAATAGGTTACATTTTTCTTTATAACACTCATACTTAGTTGTAGCAATAGCATAGACCTGTAACCCTGGGGGATTTATGGATTTTTTTTCTCAACAGCATGAGACAGGTAAATTAGCTTCATTGTAGACAAAATCTGGTAAATCCAAGCGCACTCTAGTTGAGTTGCCTTAGTATGCAGTTTACTTCAATAGCAGATGGCTGGTAAGTTATTGCTATCTTGTCTTGCCTTTTCAAGGACAGTTACAATATCAGATCGTAAAAAGTTATTTCCAAGCACTCTTCTTATAAATTTCTTGTCTAAAAAAAATAGGACTTCAGACCAGAAAGGATATGACTTGGTGAGGGTAGTACCACTTTGTACAATTCAGACATCTCTGTCTCTAAAAGTAATATTGTTTGTTTGACTTCACTTTTTTTGCCCCTAGTGGTGCTGTATGTAATGTATTATTGACATGCTGCAAAGATAATATATGCCGCCTTTGGGCAGAAACTTTGCTGCCCAATGATAGTTTGCTGTATGGAGGTGAATACAACTATTGTCCTGAGCCTGTGAAGTTATCTAATAATTTCAAGAGGAACACTTCTAGCAAAGAAAGCATGAAAAATGCTTTAGAGGTAAGAAACTGATTTCAATCAGATGTGTATTATTATACTTGCACTTGCTGAGAGTTAGTTGTTCAGAGTTACTTTTTTGTAATAATTGTTATGAAAATAATGCAGCTTTATTCTGTCAGTGTAAGTATTTATATACACTGGTATGTCTTTGCATAAATACTTGAATTTTTTGTAAAACATTTTGGCAATAATTCATTGAATCATGTTCAAATGTGGTTAAAATTAATGTTTTGTTATATATTTGACAGTAGCTCACTTGTAGAAAATGGTTTTTCGGTATTTGAAAAATGTCATTTGAGAAGATTAAAAGTGTTAATATTCCCAATAGTTAAATCTAAAACCCTTTCGACGAGGACGAAGAAGATCATTAGCACTTGCGCATACTGGATACTTGCCCCATCAGCAAGACCCTCATGAAGTACATAGAAACACTCCACTGCAATCAAATGCACTTTGCCACTTCCATATTGCTGCCAGCATCAATCCAGCCACAGGTAATGAGGAATACAAATGGTGTAGTATAAATTGGGACTACTCACTCAGATTTTTACTGTAATTTTTATACATTTTCCTTGTTTTAAACTAAGCTGCAAAAGCAATATACTTAAATCATAAGATTTGGGTGAGTTTAGTATAGATCTTGATTTTAGGCAAAGACTTTTGCCTGGCATTGGACAGTGAGGAAGAGAACATCACAATAAACTGGGCCAATTGGACAGTTAAGAAACCTGACAGGGAAAATAATTATTTAATTTTCTTTTTATTATGATTATAATTTATAAAATCCAGCCATGCTTCTTTAACATCGTGTCACCTTGATTTAGCTTATAATCATTTGTTAATACAACTACAATACATATTAAGTTCTTAATCTATACATCATGCTTCTAACCATTGATAAAACAGGTTCCATGTTTGATAGTATTCTGTATCTTCGTTTCCTTTGATTTTCTATCCATTTCAGCGCAGTCCATTATCTTTTTAATTATTTATTGATCTGTGGGTGTTTCTTCATTTTTCCGGCATTGTGTGAATATAATCCTTGCAGCTATTAAAATATGCATTATTAAATATATATTTTGTTCATTAACTCTTGCCTATATTATAGCTAATAGAAAGAGTTCTGGCTTAAAATCTACATTTTTTATTATTTTAACAATCCATATATGTATTTTTTCCCCAAAAAAGTTTTTGCTTTATCACAGGTCCACCAAAGGTGATAATAAGTTCCAGGTTTTTTATGACATTTCCAGCATTTACTTGACCTATTAGAGTACATTTTAGCTAATCTATTGGGTGATAAATGCCATCTATAAAACATTTTATATAAATTCTCTTTATAAGATGTTGCCATTGTCATTTTATAGTTTCTAACCCACAGTATTGGCCATTTTTCAAAGTCAATATTATATCCAATTTTTTTTGCCCATTGAACCATCATGTCTTTGACCTGTTTCGTCCTCCATTTTCCAATTTAAAAGAAATTTATATATTTTTCTAATTAATTTATCATCTGATGTTAACATTATTTGGTGAAACGTTGTCTGTTCTTTATAAAAATCATATGTTTTTTAATCCCCTTCATATCTAAATTGTATTTGCATTATGGGCCACCACAATGCGACTAATCCCTGGTGTATAAGGTCTTGTTTCTGTTTTAATCTCCTATATCTAAGATAGCTGTATAAATAAAAAAAATTCTAAATTCAGAAGACTGGGATGAAAAAATGCTTCTATAGGTGAAATGCATCCTGGTATTTTTGTGTACATTTTCATTTTCATTTTTTCCCATATTATATGCAAGGCATTTCTAATATAATGGTTTTGGAAATACCTGTGAGTTTTAGCTTTCTGATACCATAAAAAGGCATGCCAACCCAACTGTAGAACATGCCCCTCTAAATACAAAAGTCTTTTGTTTTTCAGACTAATCCATTCTTTCAGCCACATTAGGACAGATGATTGGTAATATAAGGTCCAGTCAGCATAATATTCTTTAGTTAAATGTATTAGTGAAGGCTTTCATGGCTGGGATCTAAAGGGTAGTTAAATGTATTAGTGAAGGCTTTCACGGCTGGGATCTAAAGGAACCTACAGTCTTGAATTGAGAGGAGCTGAGCAAGGCTGTTGACGACAGAACATTCTGGAGATCACTCATTCATAGAGTCACCATAAATCATAGGTGACTTGACAGCATGTAACAACAAACAGGTAGAAATAGAGTGCTCGTTCGACTCTTTGCCACAAGTCTCCTTATGTACCAACTACTGCAAGAGAGAACAGGTTTACTTGTTCTGTCTTGTGACTCCATTGTCTGTGTATGCTGTCTTTCAAATATTATTGATTAAAGAGAGAAAACATTTTAAATGTGTATCTTTTATTTGAATGTAAGTCTGTCTTTTTTTTTCTTGCAGACATTCCTTTGCTCCCTTCTATCATGTCCCTGAGTCTTAGTGAAAGTGAAGAAAAAAGTGGTCCTTTTGTAGTACATTGGCTAAATAATAAAGAACTGCATTTTACATTATCAATGGAAGTCTTTTTGCAACAGTTTAAAAAGAGTTTTGAGCATATTTCTTCAGATGCCAGCAATGAAGGATCCAATCAAATGGATATAAAATCTGATGAAGGTAAAATACACTCTTTGGGTTATATGATTTACTTTTTGAAAGAGTCTGTTAATACTATAATACAAACTAAAGAGTAACATATTGAACACATTGAGCATCACATACCTGAAAACTAATGTTTATTTGTGGTGTTCTTGCAAAATTAGGAGTACACTTAAAAAGCAGTCCTAGTAGGGCTAAAAATTTTTTTTGCATGGAACATCTGTTATTCCTGGAAGATATGAAATGCATTTGAGCATTTTTCTGAAGCCTTTCTAAATCAGATACTTCCTACCAAAGAAATCTATTCCTTGCAGATATGCTATTTTAGAGCACCCTTTCTGGTTGTAAAATCTTTACAGTGGGGTCTTGACTTAAGAACGGCTCGAGTTAAGAACATTTTGACTTAAGAACCGCTCTCATAGGAAAATATTGACTTGACTTAAGTACTTAGATTTGAGTTAAGAACTGAAAAAACCCCACGTGGGAGGCAGGGAAAGTGCAAAATGTGAACTTTCAGTTAACTGTTGGCCAGTGAAAAGGGTGCCTGTCTGCTTCCTCCCTCCTCCCAGCGTTTAGAGAGTGGATTGGGAGACAGTCTTCGGACTGCCTGTTACTGTACTGCCTGGACTGTATTTTCCCTGAACCTTTCTTGACCTAAGGGAAAAAAAAAAACAAAATATCCCCCTCTAGTGGTCGAAGGCGGAATAGCAGCTTCCCATTAGTTTCTATGGATGGAAAAGAGCAGATACGGATCAAATGGTTTTCAATGCATTCCTATGGGAAATGCAGATTTGACTTGAGAACATTTTGACTTGAGAACCGCCTTCCAATACGGATTAAGTTCTCAAGTCAAGACCCCACTGTATATTCTTTTTAAAAATGAAAAATTGTACCAAAGTGCTCTAGAACAAACAAAACAAATCTGTTTTCCATGAGTTGTATAAATATGCGTAGCATAAAGGAATTCCTAATGCTGCCTGTAGCTCTTGTTGCTAAGGAGTTTTGTGAAGTTGAAAATAACACTTAAGATCTCAAGGAATAAGATTGGGGTAAAAAAAATAACAAAAAATTTATAAAATTTTCTTGCATTGAAGACATTATTGAATTACAAAGCTCCTTCAGAATATACCAGTTATATTAAGCAGATTGTAAATGTAAGGTATAGGTGTGCCATTTGTTTTTTGAGTTTGGTTTAGTAGTATCAGTTACTCCTCAAGCAGAATTCTAGAAATTCCAGCCCACAGACAGATACAGTGGTGCCTCGCTTAACGGGTGCTCCGTTTAGCGACTAAATTGCTTAGCGACGACTTTTTCAGAACGTTTTTGGTTTAGCGACTAAATTGCTTAGCGACTTTTTCAGAACGTTTTTGCGCTTCGTTTAGCGATGCTCCCTATGGGTGATTTTTGCTTAGCAATGGTTGGGACCATGCTTCGCATAGCGATTACATTTTGTGTAATGGTTTAAACAGCCTCATGTTCGCTGTTTTTTAAATGTTTTTCTGTTATTTATAAAGTTAAAGTTTACTGTTTAAAATGATTGAAATCATAAAGTGCACTTAATAAACCCTTTGTTAACCAAATTTGACTTTGTTCTGACTCTCTTAATTTGTTGTTGTATTTTCCCCCCATTGAGATGCATTGAATAGGTTTCGCTTAGCGATGTTTCCTATGACGATTTTCGCTTAAGGACGGCAATTCGTTCCTATTGGAACAGATTATCCGGTTTTCAATGTATTTCAATGGGAAACCGCGTTTCGCTTAGCGATGAAATCGCTTAGCAGCGATTTTTTCGGAACGAATTAACATCGCTAAGCAAGGCACCACTTATCTACATTTCATTCACATGGACCAAGTATTACCACAGGCCTTGCTTCCTGTCTCAAAAGGGAAACTGCCCCAGTGCTTCCTGGGAAGTCTACATCTGTGAGGGACTGTTTGTAGAGCCCAGTAGTCAGCAAGATACACTTTCCACAGAGACCTCAGTGAAATAAATGCAGGTGTCTGTCTTTGGCCTCAAACTCCCAGAATTATACCTGAGAAATTCTTGGAGGATTTTGGGACTTGGAGTTTTGTTTTTTGTTTTTTGTTTGTTTGTTTGTTTGTTTGTTTGTTTAAAAAAGAATACCCCTAATATCTCTCATATAGCACCAAGGCTGTTATCCTATATACAATTTATAAAAGAAAGTACCACTGAAAACATTAGGATTTACTAGTGAGTAGACATGTATAGGAGTTCCCCATAACTATTTCAAGCACTTTGAAAAGCTTAATAATCAAAATGGATGTGTCCAAATGCATGCATACATGTGTCTGACAGATTGAGTAACATTTTTTGTTGAATGTCTGATGTATAAACGCTATAATTCACAGGGGCAGAATCCTGTTGGTAGTTTATGCTGATATAAGTATAATTATATAAATTATGCTAGCACATTGCAGCCAATAAACAGATTGCATTCCTTATTTAATGCTAGTTCCACGATGTGATGTGCAACTATGAATTCAGGTGTCAGTTTGTTTATTTGCAGCAGTTTACCACCACGATTTACTTAGTCACCCGTATCCTGGTGTAAATCCCCAATAGGATTCTGGCATGGATATATTTCGAAGTTTATACAGATGTGATTGTGCAGTTCATGTAGGTGTGGTGGTTATGTAGAAATAAACATATACAGAAAGGAGATGCTTCATGGCCCAATATTTTTTGTTCTTATTCTGTGTTTTTCAAAACAGCTTGGTTTTGCCTTTGTAAAAAATAAATTCAGATTAGAAATGGGCACAAAATGCTGCAAAACACTTAATCTCAATTTGCACAAACATCCAGCCTCCTCCCTGGCTGGTTGTCCCAATCACAAGCCTTGATGTGCTGCCCGGTTCATTCTCTCTCACTACCTGTCCAATCTGGGCAAGATCCCAGGCTTCTATTTCCTGCCTCCTCCAGCAGCTGATCACTCAGATGAGGAGGAGGGATGGAAATTTTCCCTGGACAGCCAGTGAGTGGTCAACTGCTGGAGGAGGCAGGAAAGGGAAGCCGGGCTCCTGCCTGGACTGGAAAGCTGGCAACAGAGGACGACCTGGATGACACAGCGAGGCTGGTGAGTGGGTCAGCTGGCTGGGGGAGGGAATGTGTGGCACCTGTTGTGTCGTGTATATGAATTGAAATGAAGCACGTCTCTACTTCAGATACATAGTGAACTACAGCTCCAGTCCTGCATATAGTTACTTTAAAAAGTAAACTCTATTGAATGCAGCATGTGTTACTTTAGAGTAGACATATATAGAATTGATCAGTGTGTCAGCTTCAGAGCATCATATGATGGCACAACAAGAAAGAGTTCAAACAGGGAGATCTCTCTCTCCCTCTCCCTCTCTCTCCCCCTCTGTTTGAACTCTTTCTTGTTGTGTCTCTTGATAGTTGTAATGTTTCTGGCTTAGTTCTAACAAAGAATGCTTTATGAGTTTTACTTCCTGATGCACATCCAGAAAAGAGGAGGAAAGTTTTTTTCCCCACAGGGTACCTAGAGCTTTCTTACAAATTGAGAATACTGAACGTGAATATATTGCACATTTCATGGTTGCAAGAATGTTTGCTTAAGCAATGTAGTATATATTGTTCTAATGTGTTCTTTTTTTCTCTCATAATGCTGTTGTTATTTAAACTAGAAACAGATGATAGTAGACAAGAATGGAAAAGTAATCAAGAACAGAGAGAACTCACTGGTGAAAAAGCAGTTCCAGTTTCAAGCTGTTGTCCCTTTCCTTCTGCTGCTGTTGATCATGAGGTTGAAATACAGCTTTCTGAATGGAATAAAAATGCAGATATGTTGTTCAGTATTCATCCTATGGATGGCTCATTACTAATATGGCATGTAGATTGGCTGGATGAATACCAGCCAGGCATGTTTCGACAAGTCCAGGTAATGTGGCTTTCTGAAGAAGAGAAAATAAAGAAATCTGTATTCAGATGTTTAATTTGAGTCTAATAATTCTCTCCTTTCCCTTTAATATATATATATTCTTAGGTGTCATTTGTGTCAAGGATTCCTGTAGCCTTTCCTACTGGTGATGCAAATTCGCTGTGCAGAAGTATTGTAATGTATGCTTGTACCAAGAACGTGGAGTTGGCTCTTCAGCAGGGCAAACAGAAGCCGTCTAGCCTTGGGCGTTCCTGCTCTATGTTGATCTCTTCAGGTCATAATAAATCAGCAAACAGCTTAAAATTAAGCATCTTCACCCCAAATGTTATGATGATTTCCAATCATGCGGATGGATCTTTAAACCAATGGCTAGTCAGTTTTGCAGAAGAATCTGCTTTTTCAGTTGTACTCAGTATTTCTCACAAATCGCGATATTGTGGGCATCGTTTTCATCTAAATGACTTGGCTTGCCATTCAGTACTTCCTTTGTTACTTACAACCTCTCATCATAATGCAATAAGGACACCAATTGTTGATAGCACAAAAGAACTTTCCTCAAGACTTCACAGTAAAGACCCTGCAAGCACATCACAGGAACTCAATACTGTTTACAGTGAACTTATCCTATGGAGAGTCGATCCAGTTGGACCATTATCTTTTTCTGGTGGAGTTTCTGAACTTGCGCGAATAAATTCCCTTCATGTATCTGCTTTTTCAAATGTGGCATGGCTGCCTACTCTTATACCTAGTTATTGTTTAGGTAAGCTTTTTTCTTTGTAAACAAAATGGCTGGAATCGCAGCAGAGGTACAATTCTGTGAATAATAGCAGTAGATGAGTGGATTGGTGTTCTCTAAAATCATGTTTGTAATTGCCTTTAGGTGCATACTGTAATTCACCCAGTGCTTGCTTTGTTGCAAGTGATGGGCAGCATTTGAGACTTTATCAAGCTATAATAGATGCCAAAAAGCTTCTCTCTGAACTTTCAAATCCAGGAATTTCTGTAAGTAAAGGCTAGCAGGTTTGCTCTTTATAAACAGTAATGAATGTTGCTACTAAGTTCAGTGTGGTTACTTCAGCAGCTACTTGGAAGAGTCATAGTTAAGTTTACAAAAAGATATACAATGGGTCAGTATCTCTAAAGAAAGTTGCTATTGTCTCATCAGCTTGTGTTTTAATGGTTCAGGCAACTGGACTAGGCAGAAACTTTGGGGCAATATTTTGAAATACATGCTAGAATATGGTGGGTAATTCATATGGTGTAGCTACTCCGTGGTAAAGCCAGAATGTAGTTTTGTTGTCTAGTCATTAAGTCCTGTTCGACTCTTCGTGACCCCATGAACCAGAACACGCCAGATCCTCCTGTCGTCTACTGCCTCCCAGAGTTTGATCAAATTCATGTTGGTAGCTTCAGTGACACTCTCCAACCATCTCGTTCTCTGTCGTCCCCTTCTCCTCTTGTCTTCACACTTTCTCAACATCAGGGTCTTTTCCAGGAAGTCTTCTCTTTCCATGAGATGCCCAAAGTATTGGAGCTCCAGCTTCAGGATCTGTCCTTCCAGTGAGCACTCAGGGTTGATTTCCTTCAGAATGTAATAGTATGTGTCAATTATTTAGGAGTTGTATGTTACCATAATGAAAAGGTGGGTCAGATTCCTCTTATGCAGCACTTTTTTTTAGCAACAGTAATTGACACAGAATGTAGTAGTATGTGTCAATTACTGTTCCTAAAAAAGTGCTGCATGAGAGGAATCTGACCCACCTTTTCGCTGTGGTAACATACAATTCCCTTGTTACTTCATGTAAAAAGCACGATACAGATAAAACGACTACACACATGGAATTGGCTTCCGACAATGAAGTGAAACAACTATTCAATTTATGTATAGAAACATTTAATAGAACAAGCAAACATGAGTTGAGTTTTAATAAAAAATATTAGTAGCCCTAGGATTAAACTGTAATGACTGCAGTCAGAATAAAATTAGACACAAAATGTTTCAGAACAGTAGCGGGTTTAGTTAGTTCCATGTGCTTTCTTGAACAAGTAGCATATATTATCTTCACTGTTGGACAATGAACAGTTCAAGGTTTGGAAATGCTAAAGACCTGTTATTTTCTGCTTGCAAGTATTTTAATATCTGGTATTGAATCAGAGCAAGGAAAGGGCAAGTTTTATTGTCAACTGTTTATAAAAATCATATTCATAGGTTGATTTTTAGCTGCAGAGGTTTGCCACAGCCAGCTTCAATAATAAAGCAGTCTGAGAGAGGAGTAGTTTTTATTAATAAATGGGGATTGAGTTAAGTGTGGCATCCTTAGCTCTCCCTTTCTGCTCAGATTCATAGTTTTCAGTGCCAGAATTCAAGCTAAATTATTGTATAAGGTACATCTGCAAAATATAAGGTACATCTGCAAAGCCTAGTTATGACCTGCTGTTTATACACTTGTACATCATCTTACTCCAGGCAAGTTTAGTTTGACTGTGGAATGGAAAATATCTGAAACTGTTGGTCTTATGAAAAATTGTTTAGATCAACCTTCACCAACTGCATGCCCAGCATTTTGGACTACAAACATTCATTTGGAATAAGAATTCTTAAGTGTGTCATCATCATAAGAAACTCACTAAACGTGTGACCTTTGTAGGGTACAGTGTTTGAGAGTGGACAGAGAAAACAGCAACACATTCCTGTAGATCCTAGCTAATTTATACTGATATTTGGACAATAGATTATGTTTTTTATTTTCATTTTTTATCTTGCCTTTGTCTCTGTAAAAGGTTTCAAGGAGGTTGACAACTGATATTAAAGATGGCTGAAATTAATTTTTTTAATATACAACTAATAACTTTTGGCCTTTCCTACTAACTTTGCAGAAATATGTTGGAGAAGTTTTCAGTATAATAAGTCAACAGTCCACTGCTAGACCAGGTTGCATTGTGGAGCTGGATTCCATTACGGAGCTGGTAAGGCTTTTGCACTTATTAAGTGGGACTAATATAGTTTCCTGTTACTGAAAATAGAGGAGAGGGCAATGCTTTCTCCCTTTCTCCCCCTCCAATCTGACCCCATCTAAGCCCCCCAAACTCTGGACCAGATTTTAAAGAAAATGTAGGAGAAAATGAGAATCCCACCCCACCCTTGTCCCTGTTTCCATTGCCCCTGAACCACAAAAAGCACCCTGGATTTGATTCATAATATCAGTGGCCTTAAAAACAATATGTTTTCATTGAATGCTATTCAGGTATTACTTATTTTCAGGGATCCTATCTGTTAATATTTAACCTAAATTCAGAAATATTTTAATGAATTATTCAAATATCCTGTCAAAATGTGATTTGTCTGTCAATGAGTGGCCTTATAGTTGCTCGATTTATATATGTTTTTGCTTGTTTTTAATTTAGCATGGTGGGAAAATGCAGTTACTTCATGTATTTCAAGAAGAGTTCATTTTGAATAACCATGAGAATGGACTGACCGAAAAAAAGACAATGTTACCTGACTCTGGTAAAGCCCATATATGTTTAATAAATTTTCAGGAAAAAAACAAAAACAAATTGAAGATGATTATTTAACAAACACTTTGTGTCATTTATAGCATTGTGTTTGGCTTAGTAACCTACATTTTACTGAAATGTGAGACGTAAAGCTGTGATTATACTCCGGGTTCTACTGAATTTCTATCATATATAGTCATGTGAAAAAGAAAGTATACCCTCTTTGAGTTCTATGGTTTTATGTATCAGGACTTAATAAAAATCATCTGGTCCTTAGCAGATCTGATAATTAGGTAAATAGAACCTCAGATAAACAGCACATGACATATTACAACATATCATGATTTATTTTACAAAAATAAAGCCAAGATAGATAAACCATGTGTCGAAAAACTAAATACACCCTTACTGCTTCCATAGGAATTAAGAGGCTAAGTAGCAGCCATGGGCTGCTAACCCAGTGCCCTTGAGTAACTGATCATCAGCAAATATGACCACCTCTATAAAAGCTGAAGTGTTAGTAATTTGCTGGTCTGGAGCATTTAGGTGTGTGTTAACAGAATGCCAAGCAGGAAACACAACAGCAGTGATTGTAGAGAAGCTATTGTTGCTGCTCATCAATCTGAGAAGGGTTGTAAGGCCATTTCCAAACAAATTAAAGTCTATCATTCTAGAGTAAGAAGATTATTCAGAAGTGGAAAACATTAAAGACAGTTGCCAATCTTCCTAGGAGTGGACATCCAAGCAAATTCACCCCAAGGTCAGACCGTGCAATACTCAGAGAAATTGCAAAAAAAACAACAACCAAGAGTTACATCTCAGACTCTACAGGCCTCAATTAGCATGTAAAATGTTAAAGTTCATGACATTACAATTTTAAAAAGATGGAACAAATATGGTTTGTTCGGAAGGGTTTCCAGGAGAAAGTCCCTTCTCCCTAAAAAGAACATGGCAACATGGCTTAAGTTTCCAAAAAGTAGCATCTAGACAAACCACAAGACTTCTGGAAAAATGTTTTTGGACAGATAAGATCAAAGTGGAGATGTTTGGCCATAATGCACAGCACCATGTTTGGTGAAAACCAAACAACATGTCAGAACAAACGCCTCATACCATCTGGCAAGCACAGTGGTACAGGGGTGATGATTTGGGCTTGTTTTGCAACCACACCTTGCAGCCATTGAGTCAACAATGAACTCTTCTGTATGCCAAAAAATTCTAGAGTCAAATGTGAAGCCATCTGTCCAACAGCTAAAGCTTGGCAGAAATTGAGTCATGCAACAGGACGATGATCCCAAGTATACCAGCAAATCTAGAATAGCTGAAAAAGAAAAGAATCAACGTGTTGCAATGGCCCAGTCAAGTCCAGACCTCAGCTCGATTGAAATGCTGTAGCAGGACCTTAAGAGAGTGCCTGCAAACCTCAATGAACTGAAATGACGTTGTAAAGAACAGTAGACCAAAATTGTTCCACAACGATGTGAGGGACTGATAAAGTGATACAGAAAACAATTTACTTCAAGCTAATGATGCTAAAAGTGGATCTACAAGCTATTGAATTATAAGATGTACTTAGTTTTTCACACATGACTTCTCCATTTTGGGTTTAATTTTGTTAAATAAATCATGACACGGTGTAATATATCATGTGCTATTGTTCATCTGAGGTTGTATTTACAGTGGGGTCTTGACTTGAGAACTTAATCCGTATTGGAAGGTGGTTCTCAAGTCAAAAAGTTCTCAGGTCAAATCTGCATTTCCCATAGGAATGCATTGAAAACCATTTGATCCGTATCTGCTCTTTTCCATCCATAGAAACTAATGGGAAGCTGCTATTCTGCCTTGGACCACTAGAGGGGGATATTTTGTTTCTTTTTTTCTTAGGTCAAGAAAGGTTCAGGGAAGGCAGGGAAAATACAGTCCAGGCAGTACAGTTGTCCTGATATGTCAAACTATAGAATTCAAAGAGGGTGTACTTTCTTTTTCACATGACCAGTTTTACTAACACCATCTTAATCCTTTGTAATCTTTTAGAGGGAAATAGAACATTTGATTTTTTTTATATTCGTGGCCACAGAAAATCATGGACACGTATGCCTCGTGCATGTTATTTGTCTACCACTGTTTCATTTTTAGAAACCAGTAATTATTTCCCACATTCAAGTGTTACTCAAACTTCATGCTAAGTGCATTATGTCTCATGTAACACTGCAAAAAAATTGTTATCAGTACTGGAAAAAGTAAGATATAAAGGACTACACATTTAACATTATGAGGTAGCAGAATCTGGAAATGGTAGGATAGTCTGTAAGTGAAAGATAACATATTTGGAAGTATGTTCTAAGTTTAACATGCATATGCATTGGAATCAAGATGAAGTTTCTATACCCATACCACTCCCTACTATAGTCATGTATGTCTATATGGAGATTACTGAAAAACAGAGAATTAAATAATTGAATCTTATTTACTGTCTCAAATGGCCCATGCTGTCATCTTAGAAATTTCTCACTTCATATTCACCACTTTTTGCTGCACATGTAAATCAGATCTAGTACATCTTTCAATCCAGAAAGACATAAATGAATGAATGGTCCTTTTATTTACTAAACTGCAACACTCTTTGTTGAATTTCAAGTTGCTTGTTTGAATTCCTTTGACTATAAAGATGCTTGAAACACAGTCAGTTTAAAGTCACTTTTGATCAATGCTGGATTGTCATGTGCAAAGTTTAGACTGAGGCAGTGAAGTACAATCCCATGCATGTTTACTTGGAAGTAAGGGCCAAACTAAACATGATAGTGGCTGAAACCTAGAAATAAGTTGCAACTAGAGAGGGCTTAATAAATCAGTAGCACATTGTAAGTTGTACTGATTCAACAAGGCTTCTCCAGCTGCGACTTATTACTGGATTTTAACCACTGTATCTGCTAGCTTTAAGGGTGAGGGAATACCCACTGTCACCAACAGGAGTTTTGACCAAATGCTAATAGCAGTGCAGGGAGACTGCTTTCACATACTGTGAAAATCCTCCCTCGAGCAATTTGCTGTTTAAAGGATCTTAATGATTGGTAGTGCATTTAGCATCATGTTTAGTTTGACCCTTAGGCATACTGATTCTTGTGGGAGTTCAGTTGCACAGAGATTTTATAAATGATGACCAAAAGCTGCAGTCCCACACACTCTTTTTAGTAGGATGTCTGTTTACTTTACTTTTAGTATTTGATTGCATTCTTTCCATCTAAGACCTAGTGATGATGTGCCTACAACCACAGCCTTCAGTCTTAAGTCCCAGGCAGGTTTGTATGGGTGCAGGTATTCTTCAGATAGTTTGGTCCCAAGCTATTTAGTGTCACTGAATTTAGCAACAGCACTTTGTGACCAGAGCATAGATAATTGTGGCAAGGTCTGCTTCCTCTGGTAAGGGGTACAGCTAGCAAATTAATCTAAACTGATGAAGAACCTTTCTGTTGTCTGTACTTTAATCTTGGTGGCAATGGAAGTTCTAGGTCAACCTCAAGCTGTAGGCCTGTCTTGCATAACTGACTTTTCAGAGTCAGTGAAAAACCATTATCCTGATCAGCACATTTCTTTACACATTATCTTATCTGTGTCTTAGCTGGATCAGCTTGTTTGCTCTGTGTCCCCCCCCCCCAATTGGCCTCCAAATGCCTGTTCAGAAATTCCATATCTCCCAAGGGAGGTTATTGCAGTGAGTCATCAACAGATTGATGACACTTCATCCCAAACTTCAGGATGACTCCTCCTTCACATGTTTCACGGGCATAAGATAAAACTGATAAGCACTCCAAAGTTCGATGGCCATGAAATTAGAACAGCATTCCTGGAGCACCATTCTGTGGCACCCAGTGAAAAACCAAATTATCACAACACTGACATTCTTAGTTCCACAGTGAACAGCCAATCCAGAGGGCTACCATGGTCAGTAGGGTTGAAAGTTGGTGAGAATAGAATACCAGCTGCATTACCATCTCCTGTCTATTCCCTGGCATACATCAGATACTAGGAAAGCCAGGACTATTTCAGTTTCAAAATTAGACCAGATACTAGAATGGAATGGACCCAGATAATCACCAAGACTATCTGGATCTGTGAGGCCATTGCTATTTCCAGCATCTTGCACCCACACAGTAGATCTTCTGCTCGACTGAAGATGTTCAAAACTGATGGTTATTATCTGGCTTTCTTTGTATGGTGGTGTTTAACTATTGCCTCCTTAACTGTAGCCAATATGTCTGATCTATCAAGGAAGGATTCTTAATAAGGCACTGTAAGACCTGCCTTGCCTGATTTTTAACAGCCAATATTATAATTCTTCTAACATAAGGTAGTAGTCTTCAGCCCTCCAAACAGTCTGTCCACACCATCAGATTTTGTCAGCTTGAAAGTATCCATCACAATCTGATGAGTTAGTGTCTTTGTGGTATCAAAATACAAATGCAAAGGATTGTACTTCACATCTGTGAGTTTAGCTCATGTCATACACAACAAGCGAAATAACATTATACAATTAGTAATTAATGAATGATCAAACTCCTATGCTAAAAATGAAATCTATTTATTTTTACAGGATATCAGAAAAATGGCTTTTCTGAAAAATTTTATTTAATTGTACTTGAATATATTCAAAACTGCTCATTCTTACATATGTGGAAATTACATTTGAAGTCTGTGCCAGTCTCAGTGGGTAGGTTCTTCACATTTGTTGTCTTATAAATCAAAATACACATTCCTCATATGCTTTATTTGCAGGTTTTGGTCCTTTGTTTTGCTATAAAGAGTTCAATATAAAATTATTTTACTTTGTACTGTATTTCATATAGGTTATACAATTATTATTAGTAGAAGAACTGTGTTTCTTTATTTCTTGACTTTCAGTGACTTGCTCAGAGTTTCCACTGATATAGAACACTGGTTCTTAACCTTGGGTTACTCAGGAGTTTTGGACTGCAACTCCCAGAAGCCTTCACCACCAGCTGTCCTGACTGGGATTTCTGGGAGTTGCAGTTCAAAAGCATCCGAGTAACAAAGGTTAAGAACCACTGATATAGAACACAGTACTACCAACCTGATGATGGTGGAAAAAGCTAGGGTAGCATGTTGGTGTCACTCAGTTGGACTCCACCAACAGATAGGAGAACTGTTGCTCCTGTGCTTAAGTGGGCAGAAGATTACTGCCAGCTGTAGCAGACAGAAACCCTGAAATGGAGTGTTCTGTGAATGTGGATGTTTGATTTTGGATCTGTTGGATCCAAATGTACTCCATCCTAGTGGATGACTTAATTTAAGTCTGTAAAATATGCCAGCTCTGGAAACAGACATCTATTCCTTTCCTTCATAAATACAGTGATATGTTAGACTAGGGAAAATATCCTACTTTCTGTCTTGGGAATAAAATGGAACATATATCGCAGTGGAATTTTTTGCCTGTAACTGATTCTCACACACTGAATGAATACGTTCTCCAAACAGTGCTCCTAATTTGTAAAAGCAATACATGGCTGGGTTGTGTGTTCTTCTTTCTTTTTTGATGTTTTACTTGCATAGTTGCAATAAACAATAATTGAACTTCAGAGGCTTTAGAAAATTCAATGTTTTATTCCCTACAAGTGTCATTTCAGTAACACAAATCTTGCATAAAGGTCTGGCATTATTAAGTTCATGTTTAATGCATGCTAGTTTTTGCATGATCACAAACAAGTTATGCTACTGCAGGGCACTAGGTCACCATGAATATTAGAATTGTGCTTGAGTTTGAATGTGTGGGATCACTAATATGTTCAAGCATGTTCTCTGACATCAAACAGATTCTGCAGTTTTTCTAAGTAAAATGTTTTCTCCTTATTTAGATGAAAATATTGATGCCAAGGTATCTGATGCAACCTCTCAGGAAGAGCTTTACTCTTCTTCTCCAGATCAAGAGAAACTCCAGTGTACTTTTTCAAAGAAATATCAGGCTTGCAAAGAGAACCTTCAAAGTACCAGCCAACTTGCTCTTTCTTCAGAAATTGTCTATAGCCAGGAATTGAATTTACCTGCAGGAGTGGAGATCATAAGTGTTAAACCATCAGCAGGTTTGTAAACTACCAAAAGAAAAAAAAAACACAAGGTGACAGAGATGTGATTAGTTGTACACACCAGCTTTCTCTTTGTCAAAGTTGCTTTCCATGTTTTCCTTGACAATGGACACATAGCAGGATAAGCAAACAGGCCATGGGAATCATGGCTTATTGATTATTGCTTTGCAGCAGCTCACTTGGAAGGAGAACACATAAACAAACCATGGAGCATTACGAAGATGTTGTGTGAACGTGACCACTTTTTCCTTTCTGGTTTGTTTCTCCCCGATGAACCCAGAGAAAGTATCCAGGGTTTGTTTCAGGTTTGTTTATATAGTTTGGCAAAAGAGAAACAATACTGGATGAGACAAAGTGCCCATGATTTATTTTAGATTTGTTTCTTTGTTTTGTTGGGAAGGAGAGTGGAGAAAGTGCTCATGCTTTTTGTAGCTGTTGTCAGTGCAAATGGGAGTGATTGAACTGCATGGTATCAGCACTTAACTTGTAGCCAGTAATCTGGGGCAGCACCATTTCCCTGGCATATTGTGCTGTGCAATGATAACAGTTATGCCTTAATGGTTGTAATGGGACCGCCCCCCCCATTCCATTGACCCTTCAATCCTCTGCCCTTTCCCTTGAGCTGGCGGATAGGAGTGGGGAGACTCATAACACAACCAGAGGTAAGGATTTACCGCACTAGGCTCCAGAGAGTGGTTATCATTTTAAAATGCCTTCTCCTTTTTATTGCTGCCACTGCCACCCTAACAGCTGTCTATGGGTGCTGAAATTGCTTTCAGTGTTTTCTCAGTACTCTCAGTAATCTGGGCCGAGTGGTAGGTACTGGACTCAGAATCTGGATTCCTCTAAAATGATCTCCAGACCAAAAGTCTTTTAAATGTTTATTGAAAAGAATTTTAAAAATTAAAAAAAAAGATTAAATAATAAAACTAGTCTAAATGCAAAGATTAAAAGAAATGCAGAACCAAAGCAGGTCTTTGCACACCGGCAAGAGAGAATACACACATTTAAAGTGAGGAAATCTAACTTCCCTGGCTACTCATACTTAATCATTGTTCCATTGCTTGTGTGAGTCTCCCTGAGGGTGAAGCCTTTGCTTCCACCTCTCTCTCCTGCCCTAACAGCTTCCTTCTGGCCCTCACTTTCATCTCACCATTGTGAATCTACACAACTCTTTCCTTCTAATTTCTTTTTAACTACCCTTAGTTACAAAGCTATCTTTTGACTTTGGATTATAAATGAACCTGACTAAATGGCTTCACTTTAATATAGCTTTTAATCTCTTCAGATGAGAGGGCTTTAGCCATGAATAACTAACTACTCAAGCTGTGAGTTTGCAATAGTGTACTTGTATGGCTCTCTGCTTTTGGGTGTTTAAATATCGAAGTTCATTGCCAGCTAGCGACAGAGTGAGCTCCCGTCGCTTTGTCAGCTCCTCGCCAACCTAGCAGTTCGAAAGCATGTAAATAATAAATAATAATAAATAATAAATGCGAGTAGATAAATAGGTGCCATTTCGGTGGGAAGGTAAAACGGCGTTCCCTAGTCACGCTGGCCACGTGACAACAGAAAACTGTTTTCCAACAAGCGCTGGCTCTATGGCTTGAAAAGCGGGATGAGCGCCGCCCCCTAAAGTCAGACACGACAGGACTGAAAATGTCAAGGGGAACCTTTACCTTTACTTGTATGGCTCTCTGCTTTTGGGTGTTTGCCATTTCGGTGGGAAGGTAATACGGCGTTCCCTAGTCACGCTGGCCACGTGACAACAGAAAACTGTTTTCCAACAAGCGCTGGCTCTATGGCTTGAAAAGCGGGATGAGCGCCGCCCCCTAAAGTCAGACACGACAGGACTGAAAATGTCAAGGGGAACCTTTACCTTTACTTGTATGGCTCTCTGCTTTTGGGTGTTTAAATATCGAAGTTTATTGCCAGCTAGCTTGGTTGTAGCTACCTGCTTTGAAGTGTCCCTTTGGTTTCCCATGCAAATCAACCACTTGCTAAACAAATTCTTAATTCAGAAATTAAATCAATGTCCAATGATTCTTAAAACCTGGTTTCTCCACAATGATAACTTGAAAATCTAATGGTTTACAAAACAAGAATAAATATAAGAATGTTATAAATGTTATAAATTTTAAAGTCATACTGTGTATTGCAGCAAGCATCAAAATGTGGGATTTGTGGAATTCTATAGTAGTGAACATTTCTTTTAATTTCAGAAATGTTAGCTTAGAGAATAAAAAAACCTATGTATCCTGAGAAATTTTTCTCCTCTATTTTAGGTCACTTGAGTTCTTCTTCAATTTATCCAGTTTGCCATGCTCCTTACCTCCTTGCAACTTTGTGTTCAGATGGTAAGGTTAGATTTTGGAGATGTAGAGTCCTGCTGGAGCCTGTCATGGCTTCTGGATCTGAATCTACTGCAAACAAAAGTATGTATGTATGGGAAGAATGGCCATTACTTATTGAAGATGGATTTCTCAGTAGTAGTGTTCTCAATGTGCCAGGCATGCCTCTTGAAATCAGTTGTGCCCACACAAATCGCTTTGCCGTTGCATACAAGCGGATACCACCCCCAAACAGCCAGTCTTCTCAAGACTTTGTAGTGAATGTGAGCATCTTTGAATGTGAATCTACAGGAGGTTCTTGTTGGATCTTGGAACAAACACTTCATTTAGATGAACTAAACCCAGTATTGGACCCTTTAGATGTTGCCAATAGTTCTACAGCAGATGGAAGTGAGCACTTTACACCCAGAGCCAAGCATTTGGTTCACTTAGACTGGATGTCTAGGGAAGATGGTTCCCATATCCTGACAGTTGGCATTGGGTCCAAACTCTATATGTTTGGCCAGCTGGCTGGGAAGATGCAAGAACAAAGTGGCAAGGAGATGTTTGTACTTCCACTGTGGGAAAATGTTAAATCTTCGTGTGCATCCAGATTTATATTGTTACGATGTGTGGATTTGGTGTCATCAGTGGAAGGATCACCACCTTTACCTGTTTCTTTATCTTGGGTTCGTGATGGTATCCTTGTAGTTGGGATGGATTGTGAAATGCATGTTTATTCTCAATGGCAGCCCCTTTCAAAACAAGAGCCTGTTACTGGAGACTCCTACAGTGGGAGCACTCCATCCATAATAAGCTTAATGAAACAGAGTCAGTCACCTGGAGTTCACCCACCAAAGCGAACATTGACCAGATCCATGACAAGTCTTGCTCAGAAACTGAGTGGGAAGCGAACTGTATATGATCTGTCAATAGAGATGGAGGATTCTGGTCTCTTTGAAGCAGCTCATTCATTGTGTCCTACTTTACCTCAGTACCATCCCCTGCAACTTCTGGAACTCATGGATCTAGGAAAAGTTCGTAGAGCAAAGGCCATCCTGTCTCATCTAGTTAAATGCATTGCTGGAGAAGTTATTGCCGTAAATGATCCTGACCATGAAAAACGGTACCGATCTCTCTCAATCTGTGCTAGTGGGAGCAGTACACGGGACCCTATGATGTTTAGCAGATGTGCAATTACAGACTACACCGAAATAGACTCTGTTCCACCCCTTCCCTTATATGCATTACTTGCTGCAGATGAGGAATGTTCTTATGCATGTACAGAAAAATCTAATAACCAAAGAAACATGAAGAAACATGATGAAAACTACGAGGATCTTTTTCAGAATTCCAGCATACATACAGATGATTTGACTATGTTTGAAGAAGATGAAGAAGATAAAAAGCCAAAGGTCATTGATCTTTCTCAGTACAGTCCAACTTATTTTGGACCAGAGCATGCCCAAGTTCTTTCCCGTCACTTACTTCACTCAAGCTTACCAGGACTCACTGGAATGGAGCAGATGTCACTTATGGCCTTGGTTGACACAATTGCCATTACTAGTACTGATATAGGAGAAAGCAGAGACAGAAGTAAAGGTAAGTTTTCTAGTAACAAATTCAGGGTTTTAGTTTCTGTTCTAATCCACACATGGATTAGATTTGTTTGGAGTTGTTTGACTACAGATGCCATAATTCCCCATGCTGGAACTTCTGCCTAAGAGAAAGACACCTTATAGACACTAAATGTAGCTCACCTGGGCAAAAGATCTAAAATGGGGAGGCTTGGAGGCCTAATTAGACTTATCCCCCCCCAGCTTCCTGTTCAGAAAGAAAGCTCTCAGCTAGCATCAGGGCAGAAACAGAAAGGGTAGATGGAGATACAGTATGCTTCAAAACCTTCCAAGTTAGTACTCCATACCTGCTACTGAAACTGTTGGTAGTTGTAGTTCAAAACAACTGCCCTCTGAGCAGGTCTTTTACTTTATGAGCCCATTAAAGCAACAACAGTTTTTACTTTATTCCTTGCTGCTTAGAGATAATGAAGGGAGAGATTCTCAGCTACCTGCTGTTGTAACTGGACTGTACAATTTTTCAGGTTTTCTTACAATGCAGTGATCATGATAAATCTTTAGCTACATAAAGAATATATCCTATCAGATGTAATACATAATGCAAAAATATGGTTTAAAATGACATCAAAGTTCTATAAGTTTGCGTTGGCACCTGTCACCCATGAACATATTGATGATGCAGTGTTACCCAGTACTAAATTCCAACTGTTTGTGGGAAATCAGTTTTTTCTACAAATACTGGGCTTAGCTTCTGTCCATCGTGGAAATGTTTGAACGTGACCAGCATCCTGTTGGCATATGATCGTGTAAACATTTTTGTCCTACCTGCAGGCTTATCTTATTGGGTCTAATCTTGCACTGCCTGCAAAATTGGGCATGCAGATGGTTTTGCAACTTATCAAATGAAGAAAAGATGAAGGGGGGGGGGAATACTCCTGTACAATTATTCTTATGCATATAGGTTTTCTCCCTTTGAATTTTGCCTCATGTATCTGAGATCAAAGCCTTGATATAATTTGAATTTTGTAAAACAAGATGATGGAAAGATTGGCAAACAAAGTTATGAAAAAATTTTTGAGAATCAAATTGTATACACTATTGTTATTCGCAGGGGGAGAAACACTTGATGAGTGTGGTTTAAAATTTCTTTTGGCTGTCCGTCTCCATACTTTTATGACAACTTCATTGCCACCAGCTCACAGAGCCCAGCTGCTTCACCAAGGTAATGTTTTCTCTTCTATTTGTATTCTAACACTATAAGGATCAACCTTTTAAGACATAAATAGCTACAAATTGGTATCATTTTTTTAGAAAATACGGACTTCTGGGATGGGGAGATCTGCTGTTATGCTAGTAAGGAGAAGTGCTACTTTCATATGTTTTTCCAGTGACTATTTGAGCTTTTCGTCTGTGGTTAGTTAAGCCAGGTTTGTCTGCTTGCTTCTTGTTTCAGCTGGGCTAGTATCATCAGGTCTTCACAAAAATAGGTATGGATATGAGCAGTTAGGTTCAGATCCATTTTAAAAATTCTTGCTACTTAAATTAATTCATCAAATGTCCCAACACTGCATTTTGAGACATAGAAATCTAATTATATGCTTATTTTCAAGGTTAACTAAAAAAATAATATGAGACCTTCAGTGTTATGTAATGTCCCCAGTGCTTTTTAAAATGTCTGTGCAAGCACAATGGTTTGAGTGTTTATCAAATTTGTCTGTTGTAAATGAAACATTTCTACATACTGTATAATATTTTCTGGATCATTTAGGCTTGTCTTCTAGTCATTTTGCCTGGGCGTTTCATTCAGTAGCAGAAGAAGAACTGCTGAACATGCTACCTGCAATGCAAAAAAGTGACCCAACTTGGTCCGAACTCAGAGCAATGGGTGTAGGCTGGTGGGTGCGAAATATTCATAGCTTGCGCAGATGTATTGAAAAGGTAAGTTCAGTTTATAATAACCTGGCTCATCTCATGTTATAAACACAGGTCAAAATCCTATTGAGTTTTTTTCTTACACCAGCATAACGTAGTTAGCTTAAATTTTGGTGTCAGATTGCTACAAGTTAAGGAATTAGCATGCACACTTGCTGTTGTGGGCCACGTTGCCTGTTCTAACTTCTTATAATAGTAATAATTGTGTGCTGTTAATTATGACTTAGCAACCCTTTCCAGGGTTTTCTAAATAGACAATACTTAGAAGTGGTTTACTATTCCTTTATTCTGTGGGGATGCTGAGAGCTAAACAGGTTGCCCATAGCTACACATATTTTCTCTTCTCCCAGGAGGCACAGTAGGGAGCCAGAGGTTGGCTGAAGAGCCAATCTCTGGCTCTGCATCCAGATATTTAAGTCACTGAGTTATACAGACAGCTGTGTTAACTTCTTAATTTTAGGCAATTCACTATCGAGATATGTACAGTGGTACCTCGCATTACGACGTTAATTCGTTCCAGCGAAATCACTGTAGAAGTGGTTTACTATTCCTTCGCTGTAATGCGAAAATAAAAAGCCCATTGAAACGCATTAAAACCCGTTTAATGCATTCCAATGGGCTGGAAACTCACCGTCCAGCAAAGATCCTCTATAGGGCGGCCATTTTCGGGGGGCATTTTATTTACCCGGTGGCCATTTTGAAACCGCCGATCAGCTGGAGGAAAATCGTCATTTTGCAAAGAATCGGTTCCCGAAGCAGGGAACCGATCATCGCAAAGCGAAAAAAACCCATACACACCATCGTTTTGCGATCGCAATTGCGATCGCAAAAAGATCATCGTAATGTGGTTTTGTCGTAATGCGGGGCAATCGTAATGCGAGGCACCACTGTACTAGTTTCATTAAGCCAATAGGGATGACTAATAGAATTTCATTCATTATATATAAATGTTATGTCCTTTATATTCAGTACTCATGTCTTTTCTGTCAAATGTGGTGTGGCCAGCTTGTTTAATGTAAATTCAAGATGGATATTGTCTTTTTGCTACAATTTTTTGATTCTTCAGAAAGGTTTCCTAGTTGCCTGATCCTTATGCAGACATTACTTTGCTTTTGCGTTGCTGATGCTTGCGGTAGCCTTGCATCTAAATGTAATAGATAAGTAGGAAGTGAATGGAGGCAAGTGCATTGAATTCCATTCCTATTGGCTGGCTGGAAATGGATGGAGCACTCCAATCCTCTTTACCCAGCATAAAAACTTGAATGAGCTGCTATCTGAGGTAAGCCCCTTCTATATACAGCATAGAAATACAACTCCTCCCTCTTGCCAAATAGTTCCTAGCAGACTAGTAACATCTGAAGGCTGGTTTATGGCATAGCCTACAATTGGTTAAAATAAAAGTATTTTAGTGAGCAGCATTGACAAATCAGTGTCTCTTGTCTGTCAAGTAAAGTGAAGCAAATGGAAGTTAGTTTTTATTGTTGTTACTATAAGCAATTGCTCAAAATTAGTATCAGATGTATTTGTGGAAATAAATTTGGAGTGATAAAATGCCCCATTATTTTTACAGGTCGCTAAAGCAGCCTTTCAAAGAAACAATGACCCACTAGATGCAGCTGTTTTTTACCTTGCAATGAAAAAGAAAGCTGTGATTTGGGGATTGTACAGGTATACTTATGAATGAAAAAGGATTTAATTCAATGCATATAGACTGTTAACTTGGTTGTATCCTCATTGTAGTGATGGTGTGGGTCTTGATGATGAGTTGCTGAAAAGGAACAATACAATTTTATAGCCTCTCCTGTTAATAGCTAATGCCATACCTTTTCTTAGTACAATTGGATTCTTCTGTTTGGGCAAACCTAGAGGCAGGACATGAAAAACTCAGCTGGCTTGAAATGTATTGGCATTGCAAGAGGTTCATTTTGATTCCCCAGAACTTGAAATGCATTTCTGATCCAACCTACAATACCTTCACAAGGTTTTCTCCAAACACAAAGCTGTGCTAAGTCACTCTAGCCCTCATTTGTATGTACATTTTGTTTTATTTGTGACTTGTGCATTATGCTAATGTCAGAAATCACTTTACACAATGAATAATTAAAAACTGGGATTTATAGTCATTGAATTTAATTGATATTCTAAACAGGAGAAGGGTGTTGGTAGCTGTTTGTGATGATGGTTGTATATTATTTCCAGAATCAGAGATAGAATGCATCTGAATACCAGTTGTTGGCAAACTTCATTGGGCCATTGCTGTCATTCCTGCTTACACCCTGCTCATAGGCTTATCATCTGGTTGTCCACTCTTAGACCAAAATACAACTTGCATGTGCCTTTTCTTTTCTTTTCTTTTTTCTACTTTGTGCATTCTTCCTGACCATTCCCTTATAGTCTCTATGGCTACTGGAGAGGAGAAGATCCATGTATCCTACCATAAAGTTAGCAAAAGAAAAACAGGTTATAAGTAAATAATAATAATAATAAAGACAAGTGTTACATCATCATAAAAACTAATATAATATAATAATACAAAACCAAGATCATGTTAGTTATACACACTAGTGTAGCTTATTTGACATTAATGTTGAGCTTCAAATTGCTTCAAGTTAAAAATTTGGCATGAATGTTTGCTGTTGTAGACGAGTCACATAACTACATAGAAGGGCAAATGCCTGCTTCTTAACTTGTAACAATTCACTGCTGAAATTTATGCTCATAGTTACATCCACATAAGTTTTAAATTGGATGCCAGTGTCATAAGACGATTCTTCAAGTGTTCCTGGGAGAGATATAATGATAAATATCAAATTAAATATTTTAATAACTAGTAGTTGGGAAAGTATACTACTGAAATGCAGTTTTTTTCAAAGGAAGTTGATATCATAGAACATGCTGCTTAATTCTTGAATAGGACCTATTATGTTACATGCCATATATATAAAACTGGTGTTTTGTGAATGCACATCAGCAAATCACTTAGTTTGTCCTCAATGTATGGAATGGTTACATTTTTAGGTCCATAAAAGATACTAAGATGACACAGTTCTTTGGACACAATTTCACAGAAGACAGATGGCGTAAAGCAGCATTGAAGAATGCTTTCTCTCTGCTAGGCAAGCAGCGTTTTGAGCACTCTGCAGCATTTTTCTTGCTGGCTGGTCATCTTAAAGATGCAGTTGAGGTAATTAGCCCTGAATCATATGAATGGAACCTCTGGGGTGTGGGTTTTTTTCTGTGCTGTGGGTGAATTTTAACCATGATGGAAGGGAGGAAAGACTTCATGAAAAAAAGAGATAAATCTGTGAGTATCAAACAAAAAAATCCTTGCCACTGACCCATCCCACATTTTGTTGTGATCTTACACACAGCCAAATCTCACCCCACCCATCCATATATGAGGCCCATTAGTTCAGTGATAAATGTTAATCTTGTCTGCCCTCCCAATAGATTCTTCTTCTGGACATCTTTAATTTGTAAGAAATGGTCAGAGACAACAGCTAGCTTGAAGGAAGTATATTTGACTTCAGATATAGCAGAGCTGTGGAAAATGTGAGGGAAAAACTAAACAAAAATAAAATAATGAAGATAAAAATGTTGTGGCAGCTTAAAGACTAGCTGCTATATTTTAATGTGAGTTTTTGTAGACAAGCCCACTTCTTCAGACCTGTGTACTAACGCTCACATTAAAATATAGCAGTTAGTCTTTAAGGTGCCACAGCATGTCTTACCTATTTTTTGTTTTTCTTTTGTTTGGCCTTGCATGCTAGCACAGTCTAACACAGCTATCCCTTCTGAAGCTATTGAAAATAAATACCTATTTTTGGTCACTTTGATTCTATTGAACTGCTAAATATGATATTGCAATTTGGAAATGTTGCTGTAAAATAAAAGCAGGTCAGCAGGTTTGAAAACTATCCAAACAATGAGCTTTACACAAAGCAATGATGGCTTTCTTTACCCAAGAGAAATAACACATTTTGCTAATTGATTCAAATATCAAAAGTAGTTCTGTGTTTGTTTCTATTAGGTCTGCCTAGAGAAGCTGAATGATATTCAGTTGGCTCTTGTGATAGCAAGACTTTATGAGTCAGAGTTTGAAATCGCTGGGATGTACAAATCAATTCTACAGAAGAGAATTCTGGGAATTAGATCTCATTCTTCTGAAATTCCATCACTTACACATGCTGATCCTTTCCTTCGAAGTATGGCTTATTGGATTTTGGAGGACTATGGTCATGCCCTTGATACTCTTCTAAGCCAACCTATTACGGATGAGGAAGGTAAGCTGAGGCATTTTAAATATGTTATTTGATAGAATTGTGTATGAAGAGACAACGCTTTGAAAAAATACAGTTTTTGAGGTGGTATATCAATAAAGCAACCTGTGTAGGTTTGGGCAAACTACACAGTCCCAGAATGCCCCCAAAAGATAGGAATGGTAAACCACTTCTAGAAAATCCTGGAAAAGATCACCATTAAGTCACAGTTGACTTGAGAAGATACAACTGTTATTAAAGATAGCAAGGTGTAGGTTGGATGACTATGTTGGTTCACACAGGCAGTCTAGGTTAACTGCTTATTACCAGAGACTATTTAACTATGTAAGAAAAATGCAAAAACAAAAATATCATTTTTCCAGTCTTGATTTTCATATCTAATATCTGATAGTAAGAGTGGACCTGGAAATCAAGAATGTGCTTTGTTCGAATAATACTTTCCCCATTAAGTGAAGCATGGGAAGTGTCAGAAAGGGAATTTCTAAATCAGGTCAGAGTATTATCTCACTTAAAAAGTATCTCCTTAATGTAATCTTTGTGTGATCTTTACAGTACTGATTCTCAGGGATGGTACAATGGCCAGAATCTTATCAGTTAAGACAGCCATCGTCACTCAGTGTAAATCTTAGCAGGGACCGCTTCTGTGACTTATGCTGATTGAGTTATGCCAATATAAAAATGTAATAAGATTCTGGCTTTTACATTCTAATGGCACAATCTTGATTTTTTTGCATGACCATAGTGTCTGGACTACACTTGCAGATGTTTACAGTGTTCTTTTTTTCTTTTTTTGCCCTGTACTTTGCACTTCTGCCGAAGCAGTAAAGTGTATAAATAGACAGACTATGCTGACATTATACTTACTGGCCAGTTTTGCTTAATATTAATTAGTGCTTTCTGTAACAAGCATCGCAGTCTTAACTGTCCAAGCTCAAATGGGCTAGAACACTTTCAGATGAAATCTCAGCTTGTGGTACTGACCTGCAAGCAGTTGAGTTAACTCTGAGTCTCTGCAGGTTTTTAAGTTTCCTGCGTTGCATTAGATGTGTCTGTCTTAATACTAGTGTATAATGTATGAGAGAGGGCCAACATTACCTCTAATCTTCCACCAGCACTGAGTGGAAACCCCGCCCGCGTTACCTCTAATCTTCCACCAGCATTGAGTGGAAACCCCGCCCTGTGCATGAAGTTTTGGCCGTGATGGAACCAAATGAGCAGCAATACTAAATGTGGGTGCAGCACCTATACAGCACCACACACCTGCACAGCTTAGAGGGACTGTTGTAGAAGGCTATAGTTCTGTGACTAACGTGTGTTTCAAGATGTAGCACTGTGTTTTACAGTTCAAGTTTCACATGGAAAAGCCTCGGTGTTCAATATCTGGTATCTGTAGTAGGACTTGAAAAGTCTTTAATCTAGAACTTCGAAAGAGTCAGTGTTTAGCAGCCTTATTTCTGCATTATATTAAAACATATTTTATTATTACAGGCTGGAATTGCAGCAAGCTTTAAACTTTCAAACTCCATGTTCTGTTTTCCTTCTCTAAAACAGATGCAGTTTGAAAGCAACACTTTCTTTCTAAATTTCACATTATGTATCAACTCAAACAACCTGTATCTAATTTTAATGTACAGTAGTTAGTTGAAACAAGCCAGCCCGATAGTTCATGAAGCAGTTGTGTTTCATCTAACTATAGTTGAAACTAGAAACAGTTTAGGGTTTAGATTCAGTGCTAAATGGTGATTAGTAGAACTGGAAATAAAATAATCATTCTGGCCTTGCTGAAGGAGGCAATTGAGATGAGGAAGTCTTCTAAAATGTATAGTTTTGAAATAATGTTTTCAATATATTATAGTTTTCTAAATAATTTGTTTTAACTAATTGATTTAACTATTTTATGCCACCTGCTAGAAAAGTGGGATAAAAATCAAAGAACTAAATAATGATGGACCATTTTCTCTTGAACCTGAATTGAACCATTATAGATAATTCTGAGCTAGGCAGATTGGTGGTTTAACTGAGTATCTGAAAGCTTTCTTTACTCCTAAAATGAAGCTATTTTGGAAGTTTGCCCTGCTATAGATTGCAAATATACTTATTTAGCAATATTATGTCATTCATGAGAGTGCTACAGTGACTGCAATAAATATTTAGTGGAGTTATGTCTTGTGATATTGTTACAGATGGAGGAAGCATCTCAAGCTGTAACCCTTCAGTATTTAATTTTTATAATTATCTGAGGACACACCCTCTCTTATTGAGACGCTATTTTGGGTCTTCTGATTTATCTTCTACAAAGATATGCGTAACAGGAGAAAATGTGCTGGCAGATGAAATCAATTTAGGGGAACGAAGATTGTTCTTTACTACTGCATACGCTCACTTGAAGGCTGGCTGCCCCATGTTGGCTTTGGAAGTGTTATCAAAGATGCCCAAAGTGGTAAAAAAGTCAAAGCCTTTAGGAAGAACATCTAGTTTAAGAGACACTACTAAAAGCTCTTCACCTAGTTCTCCACTACCAGTGGAATCAAAAGGTGACAAGTTTTACAGTATTGACTGGGCACAACCTGTAGTAAATGGTTTAGGTTCATCTTCGGATGGGTCATCAGACAAACAATCAAGTTCTCTTTTTGATTGGAGTCAGCCAAGTACAGTATTCCAGGATGATCCTTTGGAGCTAAAGTGGGACAGTGACAAAGATGAGGATAGTGAAGATTCTTGTCTTGTAATGAAACCTTTGCAGAAGATAGGAAGTGAGAAACCCAATGAAGTTAGTTCGAGCTACACAGAAACTTACAGTTCAGGTATTGAAAATGATGTTTTAACTTTAGAAGAAGACATTATTTCTGCACAGTTGAAATTTAGAGCATGCTTGAAGATTCTTACAGTAGAGCTTCGCACATTATCCACTGGCTATGAAGTTGATGGTGGAAAATTAAGATACCAGTTGTATCATTGGCTTGAAAAAGAAGTGATTGCTCTTCAGAAAGCTTGTAACTATTCTGATGAAGCAGAAGCTGTTGAGTCAGGAATTAGCCCCAAAGTGGATGAAGCGTCATTAAGTGAAATATCTGGAGAATTGTCAGACATACAACTGAATGCACAGCAGAAGGAGAATTCTCAGAGACGGCAGTGGCTGATAAAATACCAGTCACTTTTGCGGATGTTTCTAAGTTACTGCATTCTGCATGGATCTCATGGTGGGGGCTTGGCATCTGTAAGAATGGAATTAATTTTGCTTCTACAAGAATCTCAACAGGTATGTACTTGTTTCTAACTGTTCAAGTATGATATCAAAATCTTTAAAATTGTATGCACTTTCTCCTTACTATCTAAGTATGATCCAGTTGCATATATCACAGAAGTAAGTACAGCCCCTCACATTTCATAAATATTTTAGGCTCCCATTAAAGGTGTGTCAGGGCTCGACTCTCCCAACTTTTAAGAGGATGTTTAAAAACATACTTTTCACAGATGCCTGTAAGAACATACACTTTTAAGTTAATTTATAGTTGTGTTCCCTGATTCCACCATCACTTGAGTTTTTAGTTACTCTTGTTTGATCTATTTTTTAATGTTAATGTTGGTTTGTGGTTGAGTTGATGGTTTATTTTCTTTACTGAAAACCACTAAAAGTAGTCCCTTGCAGTAAGTTGAATGGTGTGTATATGTGTGTATATATAAACAAATAGGCATGGTCTAGTCTAAACTATAAAGGTGTCCTTGCCAAAAATAGGTTTCATCTTTGAGTCTTGAATTCCATGTGCAAAAGCAACATCTGTCCTACTTAGAGAAGACATTGATATACTGTATATACTTGAGTATAAGCCTAGTTTTTCAGCACAATTTTTTGCTAAAAAAGCAACCCCCCCCTTGAGTCAGTGTCAAAATTACATGTTCTCCCCTGCAGTGCGGGTGTTCCACGCTCATCTACGGGCGCCTGCAGCCTCTGTGGGTAGTCCCATGACCCTGGCTAAGTACACTGCATTTCCAGGACACTGCCATCCTCCTCCTGCATATTCTATGTACCCGCTGGGAAGAAGAAGCTGGTGTGGGAGTCTGTGTGTCAGACAGGGTACTACTGTGTGTCAGAGTACCAACCTGATAGGTTCAGGTGTCCGTTGGTTAGCCAGAACTGATAGGTTCAGGGTCTGTGCTTCAAGTTAAGGGTTCTGTGTGAACCAAACTGTGTGTATGTATGAGTGAAACTAAGCCATGTTACTAAATCTTATTCACCTGATCATTTTATTTTCCCTGTGTGTTGTTTTAAATAAACCTTATTCTTTTATTTGTTAAAAATCCATCCCTGGTCTGTGTGACTTCTTATAGGGAATGGTTGGTGGCAGCTTAGTTAACGTGTGGCAGATCCCAGTAGGTCTGGGTTTGTCACATTGATCACAGCTGCAATACATGGATATCTGCAAGCGAGATCTGAAGGCCTTGGAAATGGACCTCAACAGATGGGAGACCTTGACATCTGAACATTTAGCCTGGAGGCAGATGGTGCATCATGGCCTCTCCCATTTTGAAGAGACACTTGTCCAGCAGGCTGAGGCAAAGAGGCAGTCCCGAAACCAGCAAAATCAGGGAGCTGG